TGTTTTCAAGGATATAAAGTTTCTACGGGAGAGGGGAGACGTTAGGTTATGTATGGGCAACCTATAGCTAATGCATAGCCCAGGGACTATGCAATGATGAGGTAGCTATCCATTAAACAAGCTGCTAATCGAGTCTCCGAGGTGGAGATGCGATGAGGGGAAATGTTACCCCGCAATCCCGGGCCATCTCCGAGATACCACCGCACAGTTCCTCACCAGGGCGAACCACAACCGAGTATAATTAATCACCTTGCTCAGCAGCTCTGCCTATGAAATTTGTTTCATTGCTGTGTTTGGCTGAATTCATACATGTCCCTGCGAGGTCTCTGCATTCGATTATCCCAAGACCGGCTGCGAGAGTGCCATCTGCGAGTCCAATGCAGAGTGGCACCTGCAGCCCGACTGCGGAGGCGCTTACGCTAACCTTTTAGTTTCTGTCCCTCCTCCACGGACCAGCAGGAGATGTGCACGCAATCCGTTTCCGAGACCTCTAAAGGAAACCGTGCAAGTCGTGGAAATAGCGTGCCATCAACCCCCGTTCTCGCACATCTATTTCCTACTGCTTGATTAGAAATCTGCTCATAGGAATATTACCGGAATTTCCATAAACTTACCCACGGAGCCATCTGGGTTAACTGTTCTGATATTGCTGGAATTTCAACGCTCGAGGCTTTGGTGTGCCATGTTTTATTTCAGCCATGGCATGGACACAACAGATGGTAAGTTGAATGATAATCAGAATTTTCTCTCTATTTTTTGCCAAGATTTCTTTTCCCTCGGTATACTCCGTGGCTGCGATTCTCCAAGCACTCCAATGTAATGCACCCTGCAACAGCAGCCGTCGAGTTAAGGATTAATACTTACCTTAAGCTAGTGTGATACCTAGCAAGCGATAGTCATTTAACATCCACCTAGCATAATTGCCTATCTATCTATGACGGTGGAGGTATATACTTTCGGTGGCGGTGAATATTCATTGTGTTGAGATGTCGGGTCTGGCATCTTCTATTGTTGTTTAACTTTATACTCGAACTTCTCTCACTGTGTTCTCTTCTATTGTGTTTCAAAAGCTTAAGAGCATTTCTATGAATGCTATCTCCTCTGATCCCTTCCTCTCTTTGTGTTATGCAGGCTGTCCTATTTGTTCTTCTGGATGACTGCAGATGACTGCAGTGATCCGGCCTTAGGCACCAACTGCTTGGATTGAAGACGAACGAAGGAAGCCAGGTGAAAGAAGGTAGCTTTAATATTCATTCGACGAGCCGCTCGTCCTGATGGCAAGTAAGTCATCGGTATGAAGGTTTGCAGACTTTTCTTTCCGCATGACTACAGCCTTGGGCTAGCAAAGGCATTTTTTAAGCTTCCGTATTCATTGTGTTGAGTTGTCAGCTCTGGCAGCTTCCATTGCTGTTGAACTTTATTCTCTTTCTCTTACGCATACTCGGACTCTCTCTCCGTTGATGGCACAACAGCCTCTCGACATGCCCATGTCAAACTCTCTCTCCTAATGTGTGTGTGAGCGGAGAAGGCGGCGGCGACGACGACGACGACGACGACTAGCAAACTGACATGATAGAGGCTGAGGACTACAGCCGTGTGTTTTCAGATGCTCCAATCTCAGAGGCAGATGATGTTGAATTTCCTATGGATGAGGTCGATGCTCAAGATGCGCCTGCCACCAGGCCCTTAATCGTTTTAGGGAAGCCACGAATTTCTTCACCGGAGACAACACCGAGCAAGGGGCACAGGAATCGTATCTCCATTTGTGCGAAACGACACGGAGTTGACTTCCGTTATCAAGATGTGGCTTTTCATCCAGCCATGCCTTGTCCTTCATAAGTGCCTTTGGTGGTGCCCGGCGGCAGGCCATGCAATAAACGGACAGACCCAGCAGATACAACTGCTGAATCTGTGCTGTTGTGAGCGGCTTCGTCGCCGTAAGCAGGCCCTCGATTGATCGGAGGGGTGTGTCTCGAATATACTCGGAATAGAGCCGTGTTGCGTCATCTCTGATGATTATCATCATTTCTTTGAGGACCTGGTTACGAGGCTTAACCAAGCCCTGAGAGGTAGGGATATTGAAGTCAGATACTGGCATTGTGACTGTTGTGTTGTTGCTTGGAGAGGTGGTTGTGGTTGGTGGTGATGAGCTTCCCCTTCTCGGGGGCTATGGCCAAGTTATATACCTCTAAGAATAAAATAAAGACACGGAGTTGACTTCTTTGCGAAGTTCATTTTCATCCCTTCTTTAATTAGTATAGAACCAAAGTGGTGGAGGGAAAGATCAACATAACCTGCCAATCTCCAGGCTTCCTAAGATAGATACAAGCAATCACAAGCTTATAGGTGCTGCCAAGGCAGTAGGGTTAACTCGGACCCAGAAGCCTCCAGAACTTGATCTCAAGCAGCTGGCTAGCCTGCTATACACACCCCTCCGATCAGTCGAGGGCCTGCTTGCGGCGACGGAAGCCGCTCCGTAGTCGTGCGTCGACTTCCGCAATCTTATTGCCGACATTGCTTTCCAATGCAGTGGATTTTGTTTCCGGTGCTGGTTCTTAAGTTGGTGACCCCTTACTTGACGGAGCTGAGACTGTTGGTCAAAGTGTTGATGCTTTCATGGGTTTGACCAGGTTGAGCAGGCTAGCCAGCTGCTTTAGATCAAGTTCTGGAGGCTTCTGGGTCTAAGTTAACCCTACTGCCTTAGCACCTATAAGCTTGTGATTGCTTGTTCTATCTTAGGAAGCCTGAAGAATGGCAGGTTATGCAGCTGCCCATCCCTGACAACAGACACGGCCACCTGCGGCTTGTGCTTTGGCATCTTGATGTGTTCTTTGAGACGTTTATGTGTTGTATTTGTGGTTGGTCAAGGTCAGATCGGGCGAGAGCTCGGTGGAATGTTTGAAGCTTTGGCAAGGACTCGAGTGTGTTGGAGCGATGAAGGCAGCGATGTGCGAGACTTGACTGATTTGACTGAAGCGGCGAAGGTAGCGATGTGTGGCTTTGATGACTTGTCTCGACGAAGGCGGCGATTTGCGGAATAGACGGGTTGTCGATGTAGACTTGAGCGGTGCGGTTCAGTCAGGCCGGGGATGGCGGCCTTTAAATAGATGGAAAGCAGTATTTTAAGGTTCATGAAAGGGGTCACGCCGACGAAAGAGTCGTACGCCGGGCATAATCATAAGCCATTGTTGGTGTTGAACCTTATGTACGGCCGGGCGCAGGTCTCGCAGCTGGGCAAAAAGGCTGAAGTTTAATGTGTTGTGATGCTGGGTATAGTGTCAAGTTGTTCAATTCTTGGTGTTTGGGAATTTCCCTTTTTTCCAGCAGCTGCCGTATAACTGCATAGCTCTCTCACTTACTCATGGGTTTGACCGAATAAAGTGATGGCGTCGGGGGCTATTGAGGGTAAGGGATTCACCCTCGGAGGAAGTTTTCGCGCCATCGCTGTCTAATGAAAGGAGCCTGCTTTTGGGTGCCAGCTCGCAAGGAGTTGATTTCATTGTTCAAGTGTCAATGTGATTATTGAATTCATCGTTCAAAGTGTGGATCAATTTCTTTTTTGGAGAGAAGAGTGATGACTTTGAGGGCATTGTGGAACACCATGAGTGGAAACACCAGCGGCGTTGTTGAAATCGGACATTTCCATCTTCGAGTAGGCAGTGTAATGGCTAACGGATATAGTGAAAGTAATTCATAGTATAGTAACAGAGAATAGAAGACGAAGAAATGCCTGGCAGTGATGCTTGGGATGATGAGTGATGATGAGAAAGGAAGAAGAAAAATAAGGAGCTGTTGGAAGATGGTTGGGGTCTTATACCTTCCTGAGTACGGGCGATTCGTCAGGTGCAGCAAGTTTGATTGCTGCCTAAGAGGCTAACTAAACCTTTTAACAGTTCTCACGGCTTAAGTTTTGTTCACAGGGCACAGCCCCCTTTCTATTCCGGGTTTTCTGCGTCACTAGGAACCTTAAGTAGTCTTCAAGTTTGGAGTTTCTCCTCGCTAGTGTCAGTGAAGCGAGAAGGTCGAGATCGAGTTACTCTGAAGCGTACAATAGATGGTAGGTTGAATGTCAATTCGTGTCCTCCCCCCATTCTTCGCTAAGCTTTCTTTTCTCTTAGCATATTTCGTGGCTGCAACCCTCCAAGCACTCTAATGCAATGTATGTGGAAACACTTTCCGGGGTTTACGTGAAAGACTCCATAATGAAATCCTTTGAGGCTAAGGGAATTGGGCAGGTCGTGTGACGGTATTTCTCTGGGCCTCTAGTAGGAATTTGTGTTTTTCAAATAAAGGTTAATGAAATTGTTTTGCCTCACTCCTACATTTGATCGATCTCTCGCCATTAAAACTCCCAAGTCTGCCTTCACCACCTTCCTTACTCTCGGATAGGTTCATCTATTTCATCACTATGCGAGGTACATATGTGAGCCAAGCTTTCTGCTTGGCACCTCAAGGGCGTAAAGCAACTCCATTTCCCACTTTCCCTTGTTAAAATTCCACACCGTGGCGTTATCATACCTTCTAGGTTCACAGACAAGAGACCTTTACACTGAGACTCGTGATCTGGGGTGCCGTGTGCTGGTTCAGGCTTGCATGTGACATGCTTCGTAACATTTAAGTTTGAAAATTCTGGTTGTGTCATTGAGAAAGACTTTCAACTAAATACAGAGTATAATTAAAATAGCTCATCCCCTGGCAGGACTTCTTGACTAGTCGTATTTATTACTCTTGAAGTAGGTATTTAGTTTTACGAGCTGCAGTTGGCGTCATCTTAATAATGGTTTAGGTTGATGGCAAAGCAAAGCAAAGTAAACGTCTGAGTATAAAAAGCTACGCCTCGCCCTCCAACTCTTAGTTGAATCTCAATCTTTGTCACACACCTTGGTAGCAGCTCTACACCATCACCCATCATCCCTGGCTCGAACGCATTTTCGCAGCAGCCCATCACATCATCATCTACCCTGCTATCACTCCCCATCGCTGGCTTTAGGAAACACACAATGGCTAAGTTCCACATGGACCCTTCCTCTGTGAGTTCCACTATGAACGGTGATGCTTCTCCACACAATCCTCCGACTCTACAGGAACAGGGCGATACGTTCTGCCGTAATTGCTTCTGCACTAAGTGCGTGAAGCATCGCCACATATCCGATGGCTGGTCTGACTTCAACCCCAATGCCAAATTTGGTACCCTTGGCCAGCCTAAGAGTGACAAGCCTGACTCCAAATTGGATGCCCCTGATGCCAGGTTTGAGACCCGATTTGCTGCTTCTCCAGGCAATCCTCCAACCGAGCTGTCAGCACCCTGCAAAAGGTGCCCTCTGTTTTCCTGCATTTGTCCCAAGAACAAAAAGCCTGACTCCAAATCGGATGCCACTGCTGCCCGATTTGATGCTTCTCCATGCATTCCTCCAACCGAGCTGTCAGCACCCTGCAAAAGGTGCCCTCTGTTTTCCTGCATTTGTCCCAGGAACAAAAAGCCTGACTCCAAATCGGATGCCACTGCTGCCCGATTTGATGCTTCTCCATGCATTCCTCTAACTCAGCGGTTATTCAGATGGTGCAGTAAGTGCGAAACGGTGACCTGCCCCAATGCCACTACCACTGTCGGCCCTCCGCCCTGCCTTACGTGTCGCAAGCCTGGTTGTTTTGGCGGTCTGACCAAGCCTGGCTCTTTATTACACCCCCATAGCTTGCCCAAGGGTGATTCTGTGCCCAAGCCTGGGTCTCTATTCACGTCTGGCTTGCCCGATTCCCATGGCTTGCTCAAGGGTGACAAGCCTGGCCCCAAAGTCGAGGCCCTTGACGTCAGTTTTGATGGCATTAACGCCAAACTTGATGCCATGCATGATGCTCTTAACTCACTATCTGATGATATGGGCTCCAAATTTGGTGCTCTTATCCGCCACCTTGTTGAAAACCTCGCGAAGACTCCGAAGGGATTTGGCATTTAGTGTATTACCTGAACACACTCTTTCAAGTTTGATAACTCCCAAAGGGAAAATACTGACAACCCTCCCTTCTACCGCCACAACAGACGGGAGATCGGTCAACTGACGTAAAACTGGCCCTACGAAGAAGAGCTCCATCTCCAACCCTCTTCCCGATGATGGTCTCTCTGCCATGGTCAAAATGGAGGAAAAGGAGGAAATAAAAGAAAAGAAAAGAGAAAAAAGAAGGGAAAAAAAAAAAAAAAAAAAAAAAAACAGGACCAGCAGCAACAACAAAAACAAAAACACCTATCCCCCAGGCACCAAAAAAAAGAAGAAGAAGAAGAAGGAAAGCCCCCTACCTAGATAGCATTTGTTAGAAAACCCAAGCAAACTTATTCTCCCCCCAACTATTAGTTCATCTCATCTCAATCAATATAGTGCGACTAGATCTTCCATTGGCTATACGATCCGACTCATCATGCTCACCATGGAGATCGATCACTAAGGCGATCTAACTAACCACCACAGTGAAGTCCATAATGTATCACTCAATCCATCAGGTAAAGGCCAACACCTTATATACTAGTTCCCCGGACATTTCATTCAACAATTCAACAGGAGCCCCTGTGGCGCAGTGGTCAGCGCGCTCCGCGCCGAACCTCCTCGTACCCGCACTGAAGACCTACTGAGCATATAGTACTCCATAGCCTTCGTGGGTGGTGATATTGCCCGTGGTCGGTATTTCTGAAGTGCGAGTACATCAGAGGAGGGGAGACATGGAGAGGTCACTGGTTCGATCCCAGACAGGTGTGTTATTTTTTCCCTCTTTCTTTTTTTCTTTTTGGCTCCAAGCATCTGCGACCGCTCAACCCTATGGGTAGTCTTCCAAAACGGGTGCGGCCTGGCCAAGACCCTACTGGGAACCCGAGCTTCGTCAACTCATTTTGGCCAGTTGTATTAGTGCAATGTCCATCCCTCCCTAATCAAACTGTCAACAGGATATCACACTATAAGTTCCTCTAGAAGACTTGTCTCCGAGAACACCAGAAGCTAGGCCACTGCGAGAGATCGTGTCGAAATACTGGAGACTAAAAGTTGCTATATGAATCACCATGGACGTATCGACTCCAGTCTTCAGTTATCATAGGGAGCCATGACGCTGACAACAAGTCCTTCGATAACTGAATGACCGTTGTGTGGATTTCGGCTACGTATCCGTCATGCTGGACGGCTAGTCTGCGCTCAGGCGACCCCTACTAAGCCAGTCGGTACAAACGTCTAGAGCACAATGGAAGCCCGAATCTCTCTTGATAACAATTTATGTAAAGTTCAGGATCAACTTGTGGCATGTTGTTTACACCCAGACCAGCCACCTCCACCAGTATCTCAGCATGAATAGGGGCAATATAAATGTCAATATCAGAAACTTGTCATTGGAGAGGACTGAATAGAAATATGTGATGTACACACGTCTTTTTCATTATGATGTACATTACAAGAGCCTCACCTTTCTTCTATCCCCACTCGTCATCCAATGGTAGTTAACTTCTGCAAGTCCCACTCTCCGATATATGTCCTTCTCCAGCCTGGTGAGAACCAGAGCGTACGCCAATATTGGCCTCTGGTAATCCCCCAGGTCTACTGCATCCACCCCAGGTTTACTGAGCTCCTGTCTCGCCGCAGCCATGGCTTCATCTTTGAGCGTCGAGAGGTGGGCGCAGAATAAATCTCCGACGGGGTGGGTGCCGTCATCAAACGACACAAACCCGATGAGTTTCTTGCTCTCGTTGTACAACTCCTGGCAGTCTGTTACAGCCGCGAGAGGGGTCGGTAGCGTCTTTGTTCTCGGGTCAAAGTCAAAGGGGGAGGTCTTTGCCAGATCCTTCCTGGATCGTTGTTCTGTCCCATAGCTCGATATCGCAGCCGATATACTCTGCATCCTGCGAAGAGTGACGTTCAACGTTATCGAGGCAGGCTTTGCAAACGGCACTGGGGCGGTCAGGCTGGGCACATCTGCCTCAACAAGATGGAACTCTGACTCTGGAAGGCGTCGAGGGGTCCCTGCTTTGCGTGCGGCCCTCGGTTCCCTGACGAAGGAGACCGGTCCTTTGTAAGAGATCCAAGCCCAAGAAGGCAAGTTGAGTTTGTGCAGATACTCCAAGCTCTCCCCTTTCCGAGAGATCCACGCAAGGTCCATGTGCAAAGTTTGCTCCCAGAGCCCGCAGAAGTTGCGCCCATTGAGCTGGGGGCTCTGTGGGTGCATCTGCTTCTTGTTCACAAGCCCGGCAATGGCAGCGAGCCTGTCTGAATCATATGTCAGTCTGCATTTACTGAAGTTTGCTGCAATAGTGAGCCATGGTGAATCGTCATGCTGCTCGTCCGGTTTGTTATTGTTGAATACCTGCCGCCATATTTCGCCGTCGGGGTCTGCATCGGCTTCGAAAGAGCTTCTCTCAGGGAATAGATCGACTTGCGAGTGTTTGGTTGTCTTATATATGCAGCTCATCCAGGTAAAGTACCGACAGACCCAGTCTTCGCCGCAAATGTCATGAGTATCCTCGCAGTATATATGATACCTAGTAAAGTGGATGGTCCGAGGGGCCAGCAGCCGTTCTTGTAAGACCCAACCTCGGGTATTCAAGTGTCCTCTATCTACATCCACCGCGTAGGACCGTGGAATTGTGAGATAGGCCTGGGGTGTCGCTTCATCCACTGTTTCCTGTATTGATGATTGAATGTCATCCTCAAGAGTGTCCCAAGCTGATGTCATGATTTCGTCAATCATTTTGGACGTAGCGGCATCTTCGTTTGAGGTATTGCGGCTTTGGTGATGCTGGCTCCTAGTAAGTGATTCGTCTGAAGGCTCGTCACTCGTTGAATCATGATTTGAAGAGCTTGGTAACTTTCTAAGAGTGTTTCCATCACGGCAGATGTTGCCCAGTGCACCCTCATTCGAGCCGTAGCCATCTGGTACGTCTTCCGCCGGCATGGCGAGCGCGGCACGGTTTCCAAGATGTTCTCCAGATTCTAGTTGTATCCCAATGTGCCCTTGGCGCCCCAAAGACAGAAACTCTCTCATCTTTTCTCGCAGCACCAGTCGACCCTCTTCTGTTTTCGTCATATAACTGTCTCCCAGCAAGCCATCAATGCCCGATAGCGGTTTCGGCGCCTTCAGGTGCGGCACTCGTACCGATGGATACTCACGTGGAGGGAAAAAGCCCTCCGTCGGATCTTTACTGTCTGTTATGGCCAGGCGGCACACACAGTTCCAGTAGACGTCGGACATGCGCCCGGCCTCGATCCTCCAGTCTTCGGCATCGTCCTGGACGATGCACAGCGCATCGATCCACAGATAACGAATACCCATGGCCCTGGTAATTCTGATAGCCTGCGCGAAAACCACTGGCAGAAGTTTAAACTGGATACCATCCAACCTCTCGTTGTAATTGTCTTTCAAAGTGCGGGTATCTCTGTATCCGCCCCAACTGTAGCTCAGAGTGATATATCTCCCATGCCGTCCTGACGTTTCCAGTAGGAACAGATCTGACTCCAAGAATTCCATATCGCCCTCTCTTGTCTCTCCCAGATCAAGGACCCTCGTTGGCAACGGTGACCCCTTTGGCCCTTTATCTCCGTGCGGCTCCCGTGGCTCGTGTTTACTTAACCAAGCGCCCAAGCGGTTCATGATATCCTGATCGCTGCCTCTCGGCCTAAGTGGCTGGGGGCTGTCAAGAGTATCATTGTGAAGTATGAGTCTACCCAGGTGGGATGCAAAAGCCTTGACTCCAGGAACCAGCGAATAAAGTACGGTCCCAATCACCAGGGTGCTGAAGCCGTCAGTAGGCTTACGGTCTTCGACTTTCAGAATGATACGTGTCGGTTTTGCCACAAAGAGTTCTTCGATGGCCGTTATACGAGCAAAGGCATCCATGGCCTCTCTGGTATCCGTGAAGCGAACCTGACGCTGAGCGTGAAATGTAACGGCTGTGCAGATCTGTGTTTCCATTAGGCTACAGAGGGGGCAGCTCCGAGCTGAACGGATCAGATCTTCCAGGTCAGCCGAGTGCTGATATCCCGTATCTCCTTGCAGAGAATCCATGGTCATGCCCTGACAGCTGTCACAGAGTGGCTCCGGGTTGGCATCTCTAGGCAAGCTGGACATTGGGATGGCGAAGCGTTCTTCATCCGATGTTTCTGGCATCTCAAAGCCGAACCGCTGTGCGGCTCTCCTCACCCCCGGATACCGGAATTTGGTTACGAGATCATCAACGGTAAGATCCATCCTCGTCGCCTTGGGTAAGCCCAGTAAATACTTGACCGGATATCGAGAAATTCAAATAGGTGCTCGACGGCTGAAAAGTACAATCAACAAGATGAGGGCAACTGTCAGACCGAGGACCCGACCTAGGCTTGCGTCTCACTCATACAGAGGCGAGAACATGAAGTCATGGTGTGCTGGCAAGGCCCCTGCAAGCTGATGCACCCAGTTTTCCTGGTGATGCCCCATCCACCCCCAAAATGCTGTGCAGCTCCCAATCCTTCGCCGTCTGTCTCCTCACCAGAGACACAACTTTTAAACTGAAGTCCCCGTGGATATGCTCCCAAATTGGCAGACCATGACAGAGTGAGCCAATAGTCCCAGTACATGGCCCAAAGCAGCACCAATACCACCCCAGAGAGTCCGTAGCCGCAGATGCCTTGGCTCCCTTGGAAATGGGGAAAATCCAAATCCGTCTCCACCGCATCGACTGCTGACGACGACGCTCAAAGCCAGCAGGGCGTTGAGCCAGACTCGCGTTCCGATGCCGCGTCGCAGACGGCCAACCTGGAGGAGGACCTAGCAGAGATCTTGCAAGGCGACCTCCCAGCTTGGTTTCTGGATCACTGCGTCCAGAGCTACGAGCAAACCTGCGCATCGACCATCCCCCTGGTCATTGGAGATGCCAAAGGGTGTGATGACCTGAACCAAGAGGCACCTGGCAAATACCAGATTGACCCAGTGCTATACGGGAGCCTCGCGAGTCTCATAGATGCGAAAGTGCCCCCATTGGCAAACGGAGAGGCGCCCGAAGCAAGAAGGTCTACTTTCGCTCACGATGCCGCAATTCTTAGAGTGGCCGTCCACGCACATCAACACTCTGGGGAGGAATTCCTGGCGGCCGTCCTTCGGCAATTCGCCAAAGACCATGGAGCGGATATTCTCACATTGCGTCATCAAGACATGAGCGAGCTATATGACGTGTTCTTCCTTGCGCGGGCCAAAACGGAAAAGGATCGCTCCAAACGGCGGCATAGTAAAGATGACGACGGCGAGGGTGAAGACGACGATGGTGAGGGTAAAGACGATGATGGCGAGAGTAGCAGCAGCAGCAGCGGCTCGTCTAAACCCGATGATTCAATCTTTTTCAAAACAGCCTACAAGCTTCTCTTCGCGAAGCTCCTCACCGTGACCGAGGCACGGATACCAAAGACGGACACACCATTTCACGAATCGGAACGGCAAACGCGCCCTTTAATCGTGGAACTACCAGATCTCGAGGGCATTTGTTCCATGGAACCGTTCAAGGAGATTCTAGCCCAATTACAGGAGGCTGTTAAGGCGGCCAATTCCTCTGGGTTAAGGGTCATTGTTGTCGGGCTTGACAGCTGGGAGATTGCTGTTCGCAGCGACAGGTATCGTGATGCCATGGAATCTCTCCTTGAAGATGCCCCGATTCAACCTGACGTATATGGCTCATACGGAACAAGTCAGAACGAGTCCTTGTTGTCGATGCTAGGTTCTAATCCTCTTCGCCCGGTTCTGCCCCTGCTTCCCGCACACACAAAGGTGCAGCGCTCGCGGTTTGGAAAACATGGCGCCAATACGCAGCGAGCACACAACATCCGTGCCCTCCAGCTGAAGATTCGCAATCGTACTAGAAGTCATGGGGACCAAAAGCTTTTGGAACCGTATTGTTTCTGGGATCTTCCGGAAGAAAGCCATTGCTTCAAGACCCTGAGCCATTCCGAAATGAACTCCTCGACGCTTGAATTTGCAGCAGCTGCAATTTCTACAAACATAAGCATTGATCACATCCTCCAAGTCTTCCAGGGATTGGGGGCACTCCGGGATCAGATCAAGCCTATAAAAGAGGAAGAGAAATCCAAGTACTCGCAACTCCATCCAGAAGCTCAGAAAGCCATCGCGGAGATAAACCAGAATCCGGACAAATACCAATGGGAGGGGGTTCTCTTAGATCAGCTAGTTAGCCCAGGTCAGTAAAACTCCATGCGAGTGACGACTACAAAACAGACTAGAAGATCAGCTAACTTGAGCAGACGATGTCAATCAGGGGTGGTCCGCTATTGAGGTAGAGGAGGATGTGAAGCAGGCTATAACCCAGATGCTGGACCTGGCCAATTCCAACCCCGACCTGCAGGCCGGCATCCTGCGCAACTCTCGAATCAACGGCGTCCTTCTTTACGGGCCGCCAGGAACCGGCAAGACGCATCTCGCACGCGTGCTGGCACACGAGTACGGCGCCGTCATGATCCACGTCTCGGCCGCGGAGCTCGAGAACAAGTACGTGGGCGAGACGGAGAAGGCCATCAAGGGCCTGTTCAACCTCGCCGCCATGGTGTACCCCAGCATCATCTTCATCGACGAGGCCGACTCGCTGTTCCGGAAGCGGCAGCCCGACGACTACGACTGGACGCGCAGCCGGCTCAACACGCTGCTGGCCCAGACAGATGGTCTGATCAAGACCAGGCGGCAGCCCTTCCTGCTCATCGCCACTAATCACCCGGGCGACCTCGACGAGGCCATCCTGCGGCGGGTGCCATCGAGGCTGTACATCGGGCTGCCGTCCACCTCGGCGCGGGAGAGCATGCTGAACATCTTTCTGCGCGAGGAGGAGCTCGACCCGAAGCTGCGGCTGCGCGACGTCGCGGCCAGGACGACTGGCTTCACCGGCTCCGACCTGCACACGGTATGCGTACAGGCAGCACTGATCGGTCAAGCCGAACAGAGGAAAAGTGGGGGGGAGCAAGCCAGGAGAGTCTTGAAGCATGGCCATTTCGAGGAGGCATTGGGGAGATGCGGGCCCACGGTCTCGGACAGCGCCATGGAAGCCATCAGGGAATTCGCGGAGAAATTCGACCCCAGCGCTGGATCTCGCCTGGGACCATCACGCAAGAGCGCTTCCGCCGGACCTGCGCCTTCCAAACATCAAGTGCCGCCGAAGAGGACGAGAGGTGTTTCCGCGAGCGACGTCCCGCCTGTGCTGAAAAACGTGCAACCGCCGACGAATGGAGAGGGGGTAAACGGCTACGAGGAGTGGAAGACGAGCGAAATGTATCCATATGTAACGGAGGAGTTGTGTCAGAAATGGTGGAGTGGCGAGTCAGGTTAAGGCGCTCTAACAGTTCATATATATCAGCGTACTAGGAATAGAAAGACTAGATGATCATTTAGGTACATACTGGGGGTTATATAACGATGATGACGCTTTAGTAAACTTTTCAGCAACCTAAAAATATCTACATTGATTAAAATATGCCCTTCATCAGGCAATTGAAGGAAGAGCACGATGAGCCTTGCTTGCGCTGGCGTAAAATTGAACTACCACATTGCCAGTATAGAATCCCCTTCGTCACCTAAAAGAAATAACCATTCTAATTATTGCTGAACTAATTTCATTATAACTCTGTAAGTAAAGAGGAACGACATCGATGGTATAGCTAACCGTTTAAGTAAACGAAGAGAGGGTGAAACGCATGTAATGCGTTCTCAGAGGTTGTTGCCAAGCCCTCAGGCTAGCTCTCGCCATCCAATTTCTCTTGTCTCTTCGCGAAGAGCTTGATATGATAAGTAAAAGGAGCTTTGGAGCTCTAGACGTTCTCATTCCCGACCTTTGATGTAGAAAGTTCTCCAACTAAACCGCATACCCAACCTGTTTTATATCACGATTGCTCATTCTCCCTCCGTATCTGCACCAAAGACACAGGGTCAATCACAAAGGCCAAATCCAGATAATGAATCGCGTCCCCGTGGGACAAAATCTCGCAACCGAGCAGTTGATGCCTGACCCGCAACTCATCTCTGGCAAAGCGAGCCACTACCTTCTTCCAACTTTGAAGTACATCATGTGAAAGCCTGAACTCCCAGGTTCCCCGCCAAGTTATGGAAGAGTCTTTCTGACGATACATGAACGCACAAGCTTCCCCCCGCGCACCGTTCCAGATATTCATCATCTCCAGTTTCGGCATGCGAAGCGCGACCGCCCCCGCATCCTGCAGCAAGTGAGAAATTTTCTCAGAACTGGACTCGCGGCTCATCAGCCGGGACGTAAGAGAGAGCGATCGCAGCTCACGCCATGTCCAGGTCCTCTTGGCTGAATCCATGAAGTACCGCGCCTCGGCCATGAATGCGACGGATAGGTGCTCGAGTTCGAGGCTCCTAGCCGCAAAGCCCTGCGCGACTTGTCGAGATGTCACCCTGACGGGATCTGGGATGATTGAGGCGAGATAATCTTGAAAGGCTTGAATGTCTGAAAGCTCTGCTTCGTTAAAGCTATTGCTTTGTTGGGTTTGGAGGTATGAATGTAATGATTCGCTAGCGAGATAGCTAGGCTGGGTTTGAAAGAGTGAAAGAAATGTTTCGTCAAAGTCTTCAAATACGGATAGTTTCTTGAGGTGCATCGGCAGATATGAAGTCACCATCTTGTAGTACTCAACGTCTCTCCGAAATTCTTGGAGGGGCTTTTCGCAAAGCTGCCATGGTTCGTATACAATTTCTTCCAGCTGTGGGAGATTTTCCCATATTCGCTGTAACGTGGGCGGCGTCCACTGACGACGGCATTGTCGGCGAAGAAGAAATTTGGTGACCACCTCCACTTGGGGAAGTTGGTCATGGAATTTGATATTAAGATCTTCGTAGATCCTTCGTATCGCACCGCTAGGAGGCGGGGAGACCTGTCTGCCATGTACCCAGCCATGACCCGGATCATCTATCTCGTTGGTGTCCAGCGGTAGACCTGAATCGAGAAGTGCGTCCTCTTCCAAGGTTCCAAGGTAACACGTTTTGTGCCAGTGTTCTTTATCGCTCGTCGAATATGCATTAAGCTCCAGTGTGAGTCCTTCCCTGGTCGGTTCCCAGGTACTGAGAATGGAAAACAGCTTGAAGAGGGGCGGAGTGGCGCGTTTGTTGTTGTTATGTGCCCATGTCATTGATTCCCACCGATTGCAGCACCGGCAAGTATATCTCTCTAACTCGATATCCAAGCAAACATGTCGAACTAATCCTCGTTGGCGCTGGATTATCCGATCGAATTCGTCAAGGCAAGTTTCCTTGAGCTTTAGCCGACGAAACGTGCTTTTCTCGATCACGGCTTGCCATTCTTTAGAGACAGCTGCGTAAGAACCCTTTCGAGGATGCCGTTCTAGTTCTCTCAGGATCATGAGACGGATCTCCGGCAGTAAAGAATCCCAGGTCGGCATTTTTAGGGAATCCACGAGCTGCGTTGCTTTCATACCACAGCGCAAAGTGCCTGTCACTACGCAGGCTTCGTCCTATATCAATTTTAGGATCTATATGGCATGCAATCTTTCCCCCACGGATTCCAAGGGAGATTGATTCATAGGAGATAGATTGCGAGGGGGAGGAGACTTTTTTCTTGAGTCTAGGAACATGAAATTAGCTGAGCAACGTGCCTTTTTAACCAAACACCTAGGTAAATCCTCTAAAACGATGAGGTTTCATGCAAAACCCCTTATGCTATGTGAGATTTTGTAGTGAAAGCTTGTGTTCGTATGAGAGTTCGAGGCTAAAGTTAAACAACAATGGAAGATGCCAGACCCGACATCTCAACACAATGAATACGAAAGTTAAAAAAAGAGCCTTTTGCTAGCCCAACGCTGCAGTCATATGGACAGAAAAGTCAAAACCTTCATACCGATGACTCACTTGCCGTCAGGACGAGCCGCTCGTCAAAGATTGTGTTCAATACCCAGCACAAGAGCGAATAAACGTGGCAACACCCACCCCAGGTATCACTGCACCTTTCATCAAAGCCAGCGACCCGTGATACTTGAATTAGGGTTCATCTAGTTTCTCTGGGTAATGGAACTCCAATTAGGTCCGTCGTAGCCAACGTTTAAACCCAACAAAGATCACATTTGCCATCATGACTCACCTTCCCTTCATGACCTTCAATGCCTGTGATACGCCGCAGGAGAATACTTGATGGCATTGGATAACTTGGATATCTTTCTCGGGCTAGAGATTTGCAAAGAATTTGCAAGATAACCTCTCTAGTTCTTCTTTTTTCGTACCAGTCTAAAGCCACAGGAGATCTTTGAGTAAGTAGTAATTGCACTTCTCACTATGGTGTTCTCGGCGCCTTGAGCGCTCACTCTCCGCACTCAATTATCATAAGAAGCATGGGTGGTGACGATGATTCTTCTGCCGTGCTACGCTACCCCATCCTTGTAATTAATTTCCTCCCGATTTAAAGCCAACGCACATCCCAACCTCTCCAAGCCAACGAAAGCATCTTCGATCCCTGACTGGCACGAGATCCATGGCTGAAGAAAGCAATTTGACCCGCAGAATAGCTCAGCGTGGCACCGAAGTAACTTCCGGCTTTTTGTACTGGCAATCAAAGCTGCTCATGAGCGTATCCCAGCCGATCGCGCTCAGGTCCCATTTGTTCTTGTACCCATAGTCGACAGCTCCGAATGTGCACCCTGTAGGACTCTTACATATCACTCCGCAATCCATCAAGCGTGGGAAGCACTCGAACCCTGTATTATCAGGGGCAAAGGTTGTGACGTTGTGATAGTAGGGTTCGTGGAGCTGGTTGCAAGCCCCCATCTGATAATTAGCATACGTGCAGATGCCGGTCCCATGCGCTTCGGTACAAATCAAAACCTTTTCACCTGACGTGTTAGTACGTCCCATTAAGAGATCAATAGGAGGGTGTTTGGGGGGGGGGGGGGGGGGGAGGGATGAAGTGGAGGGTTTTCACTTACACCTCCAACATCAGGTGGTTGAGAGCTGCCGCCTGCAGCGATCGTCAGGAGGGGCAGGGCAATGGTGAGTATTGGGAGTCTCATTTTGTCCTAGAGGTGTGCGTGATTGAGTCCGTTTGAAATATTGAGTATTGGAAATCAGAGATAGCTGGGAGATAACTGGAAAATGTTAATGCAAGCAGCACTTGGATGATGATTTATATTGGTGTGGGAAGGCATTGCTAGGTGTCTTTTATATTCAATGGTTACACTGAGTTGAGCAGGGATACAGGAGCCACGGGAGAGACCTGACGTAACTCGGCAGGTAACTGACTACGTAGGCATTGATAGTAGTTCCACATACCCTTGGCCAATAGACTGTAGCTGCGCAGGCCGGATTGTCTTGGCCATAAAGGTCTATGTGCTCGTCTGTCGTTACTCGAGCGTTGCCCGAGTCTGAGATACCATGTGGCAACCCTGAATACACGATTCACAGCCGCTAACCATCCGACAATTGCACCCATCCAGTGTTATCAAGCATCCGACTCCCATGTCGGCTTGTGACCTTGCAATCCGTATCCTCAGGCTTCAGTCGGTGCGAGGACAAGAGGGAAATGCGACAAGAGTGGCAGCACGCAACGGAGAACATCGAAAGAGCCATTGGAAACCCAATTATCCGTCTGTTGATTTCTTTGTCTTCCACTTCTACTGTCATAGGTAGATAAGTCAAGTATAAACGCCACGCTCATGCAAAGTCAGTGATAATCTCCCTCCTGATACATGCGAGCCGAGCCCAGACCGGTGCATGATGCCACAGAGCCCATAGACGCTACTTCTCGTATGGTCCACGAGAAGAGAATCGTAGGATCGCACCACCATCGCTGCAGTGCTTTGAGGACCTAGGCCGGTGATAATTATCATGTACCACAATCATTGGAGGAGTTCCTCGCAGGTCCAATCCTCGTAGCTATTTTCATGGTTAGCTCAGCCGTGTATATGCGTTGCAGCACTCGCGCGACAAGAGAATGCACTCACTATCCATCGGGGAGATACCGTCGCACGATCAGAGGGATCTTCTTCTCTCGAAGTTCTTTGATCGCGATCTGCAAGGGATCGGTCTCACCCTCCAAATCGACCAGCACCGGCGCATTCATACTAACAGCCAACCATTGTTAGAAAAAAAACATCCCTCTCCATTGCAAAGCTTCCCAGGGTTCTCCAAGCTACGAACCTGATCTGTAGAGCGCGTGTGCCCAGGATACGCGCACGCTCATACTTGGTCATGTATGGGGTGGTGTTGCGCTCGGCTTCCGGGATCTTTTTATCCTTGACTGACTTTTCTCCATTCTTCACAGCGTTGGCAACTGCAGATGGGTCTCCAGAGAGAACGACGTTGTCCTGGTCGTCGCCGTTCTCACCGTTCTGGTTTACCTCCTCGTCGCCATTCTGTACCTCTGGCTCGTAGTACTCGTTCTCATCCTCCTCGTACATGGCCTCGTCGCTGCGCAAAGACAAAGGACGGGTCAGTTGGACGGCGCGCAAAAATGACTTGAGTGCCTAGCATCGCGGCATTGAGGCATCCATGGGAAACTTACACGCCAGCGCCGCCATCATCGTCGCCAAAGTCAGACATGATTGCGATTATTCCAATTCCGTAGGGCGCAAGATTCTATCGGCGAAGGACGTCGCGTGGTTGAGATGTGGTGTGAGTGAAGGTGCTGCGCGCGCGAAGCTAAGCATCCAAGGAGGAAAAAAAAAAGATCGAACAAAGGCTTTCGGTAAGCTGCCTAAGAGTGGATCTTCAACGTCTCACCGAGCCTTACCGACAAAGTCGTCACCCACCCCGGAAAAAAATTAATAGATCCATGCAGCTTTTGGAGCTCACCGCTCAAAAGATTCTGGATTCTGCCACCTTAAAGCACCCTTCAACTAGCAATCGACCCACAATGGTGTATCGGGAATTCATATTCTCAGTGCCAGCAAAATGTCGAAAAGAATTGCCAGCAGTTCTGCTCTCCAGGAGCCTCCATTGAAAAAACTGCATCTTGATGTCGACATTCCTTCCGCTTACCCTGATCCCTCGACCACACAATTCACCAATCTAGAGATCCACGATGACGACAGGACAACGGCCCAGACGCCCAGTTCCATCAACGATGCCGAATCGCCAGTCACGGCTGCCACCACCCCCCGCGCCAAATTCCCCTCCGACTACAAGACGTTAGCATGCACCTGGCCCGGATGCCCCAAGACCTTCAATCGCCCTGCCCGACTCCGAGACCACCTGAACTCCCACACAAACTCTCGTCCGTTCAGGTGCCCCTACGACGGTTGCGACAAAGACTACACCGTCGACAAACACTTGAAGCAGCACATCAAGGCAGTCCACACCCAGGAGCGGAAACATGTCTGCCCCCGCGAGGGCTGCGGCAAGAGCTTCGTCACCGGCACTCGATTAAAACGTCACCAAGCCGTCCACGAGGGTGAAGAACGGTTCAGGTGTCAAGATTGCGGACAGAGTTTCCGGAAGAGGGAAACGCTGAACAAGCACGTGCGAAAAGAGCATCAGAACCTCGCCGCTTATGCTTGCACGGAGCCCGATTGCACAGTGGCGTTTGACACCAAGTCCTCTCTGAAACGTCATCAGCAACGCGAGCACGGCGAGGCCAATTTCTGGTGCCACGAATGCGGGGTGAAAGAAAATGAAGACGGCACCGAGTCCAGAGTCGGCTTCACGACAGAACCGTTACTTCAGGCTCACTTGAAGCACGAGCACCAGAACTGCATGTTCTGCGATTTCAAGTCCACCACGCAGGGAGAACTAGAGAGACATGTCGAGTTCTACCATTCAGGAAAGACCGTGGAGGATCGCAAGAACAAGGTCTGCCCCTACCCCGAATGCGGGAAGAAGTTCACCACCCAGTCGAACTGCAATAATCATATCCGCACCGCCCATGAAGGCCTACGCTTCATCTGTGGCGAGGTCGTCATCACCGGTTCGGGGCTGGAGGCATGGACAAACGAGCGGGGATGTGGCGATAAGTTTTCTACCAAGGCACGGCTCGAGGACCACGTACGATATGTCCACCTGCTGCAAGAACGGCCGAAACTCTCCGCCCCCGTCCGTGACAAGCCACCGCCGTCCCCCGATGCTGTTTTTGACGACATTGCCGGCATCGCCAATATAGCCAGAGCGAACATCACCTGCCCCAGTTGCCGCGAGGCCTTCATCCGATACGGGGATCTAGATTCTCACATTGAGAAATACCACGCCAGGCGCAGCACCAGCACCGACGCCAACGACATACTTAAACCCCCAGATCCGTCAATCTTTGAACAAGAATTTCCATCCAACTGGCCGGAGGGAATGGATCAGGAGGAGATCTTTGCAGCAGAGATGGACTACGGCCCACCCCGGGATGACTGGGCCGAGGATGAAGCAAACATTCTTCTTCTGGCTCGGGATACTCCAGATCTAGACGCTAGAATCGACCCTGCCCTGGAGGCCATCTAAGCATTCACACCTAGACCAAAATTCATGTGTTTCGGGAGAATCTCTCGAGCATTTCCAATTCAATTTCATGTCGCAGCAACTGGGGCATATGTAAAGCCCATGTACGACCAGCAAAGGTCTTTTACGAATATCACGACTCGATAGATATGAAAAATCAAAGGTGGGAGAAACTGAATTATTTCGTGCCCATTAATCATCATCATTATGCTCTTTGGGAGCTCCTTCCTTTCTAGCAGTAGGTAGACTATTACACGACAATAAAAAACAATAGCGAAAGCAGGTTTATAAACAAGATGGATGCCGTCTGACGCCTGAACATGCCGTTTGCATAAAAAAATCCACGAACAATGTTAAATTCAACCACGTGAGTGTCGTGCCATGACTCCCAAAAAAACAATCATGCCTTGAAACCACATTTTAATGCCCCCCAAATAATGCATTGCTGAAACCCAGGATTGCCATTCCGATGAATCCAAAGAAAATGCACAGGTTCGGGTTATGATTGAGGCTCAGGCTCTCAACGAATAACTGAAGTGCCACACTGACCATGATGCCAGCAGTAATGGCAAACAAACATGCGTAAAATACTGGGCTGGGGTTGACGTTGTTGTGGTTAGCAACGCTGAACCAAATGGCGGCCAAGCCCGCGCCCATGGGTTGCGACAGACCACCCAAGAGAGAGGACCAAACCATAGCCTTCCATCGCGAGCCAAGGGCCATGTATAAAGGCAACGCCATGGCGAACCCCTCTGAGATGTTGTGCACGAAAAGAGCCATGAATACATTGAAGCCCAAGGCAGGGCTTGCATGGTTCGTCGCATAGGTAATAAAACCCTCGGGGAATTTGTGGAGAGCGATAGCAATGGACGTTTGAAGACCAATAGAGAGGAAGGCATTTGTAGGTACGTGGTGGTGGTGTTCGATGCTCTTATCAAGATCCCCCGTTGACGAAAAACTTTCGCCCTCGCTGTCGAATATCTCATCCTCGTCTACGCTCAGTGGTTCTCGAGAAGTAGCTCGACTTGTTCTAAAGTGAGGACCAACACCTTCTTCGTTAAGCTCTTCATCATTTTGAACCCTTCCTCCTCTGAAAATGGAACCTGTCTGGGAGTAAAAAGGGCCGGTTGTTGTCTGTAGCACTGATACTCGACTGGATGTTTGAAGTGGATGTGTGGTTATGTGTTTGTAACATTCCTGACCGCATGGATCAGTGTAACCATAACAGGAGCCTGATTCGTCGCAACCACATTTCGTGTCTTTGACAAAGGACATGACTCGATTTTGTACGTGAAGTATGGAAGGCTTGCGCAAAGCGTTGGGGTCATCGGTCCTTGCACGGCCTCGTACGTTCAGAGGGGTAGGAGGTCGATCTTGTGTCTCATCTCTACCTGCAGAAGCGTGCCTGCTAAGTGCTTCGGGGTCGGTAGTCGCCAGAAGAGGAGTTGACTCGGAGGCGGAAGTTGCGGTGTTGTTCTCAACGGCGTTGTGTTTCTGCGATGGGTCACGGAACACGCTTCTCCTCCTCCGATGGTCATCGTGGCTATGGCCATGGCCACGGCTATGGCTGTGACTACGGGAAAATTTTTGGCCTGTCGAAGTATCCGCGTGTGTATGATCGCACCCAACGACATGAGAGGGGATATGCTGGTGTAGTAGTCTAGAGATTGTTTGGATACCGAAAAACCCGCCCACAAAGCACACCATCATGATGAGGCCAGCAGTACGGTCAGGCCAATTATCGTTGATGAGGTATCGTTTCGACTCGGGTAACATGCTATACAATGAAGAAAAGAGCTTCAGTGTATCGTTAGCAAGCTTGCGGCAGAGCGGCAGGTAGAAGGTCTCACCATCACGCCAAAACTGAGACTTAATGAGCAGGCCAGGAAGACGTTACTCTCTTCGATGCGGAAATTCTGCTTGCCTGGGATTAGTCTGACAAATGCATCAACACAGATGATAGACGCGCCAAAGAGGCATGCTGTTTGATTGATGTTAGCAGCTCCATTGGCAGGCAGATGGAAAGCAAATTGACACTTGACGCACCTATCCCGCTGATGATACAGAGAATCCACCCGCGGGTGTCATTGCCCACAGTCATGGTTACTAGCTCCATGGTGAGAGTGTAGATGGACGCCAGGGAAAAGAGCACCGCGAGAGAACCAAGGAAGAGATAAAACTACAGGAAATTAGTAATGCTCCTGCCTAAGAAATATAATTGGTTGGTGAGAAGTATTGGCCATCAAGGTTCTCACTCCGCACTCCGCCCCAGCCCAGCCCGCCCGCGCTTACCGGATTTACATCGAATGGAGTCTCTCATCAAGCCGCTTTCGGCGGCTGAGGGCCCAACCGCCCAGAGGATACGGAGGCGCCCAGGCGACTGACATGAAACATGGCACACCCAGAACCTCCAGCGTTGAATTGCAACACAATATTAAAACAATCAACCCAGTAATAAACACAATATTGATATAAATATTATAGAATAATTCATAATTAGCTTATTATTATTATTAGTATTGTTAATAAGAAAATGAGGTCCCTGACTTACATAAAAAGCGTTGTAGTGTGCTTTCAGTCGCTTGCCAGGCTCCCGCCCACCCACCCGCCTTGGCTTACCGGGGACATAGGGGAATGCGCATAATGAGTTCTATCTCAGAGAAGGCATTTGGAAGCCATCTTTCGGATAGCTAGATATTCCGTGTTACTTTAACAGGCAATATTCCACATACTTGAACTTGCTCCTCGACTTCCCCCAAAGCCATTACCAGACACCTTAAAAAATGATAGAGATAGATTTAGTCGATCAATTTTCCAAAACTCTAGGGGAATGGACGCTATCATGGTTTACTGAGATCCGATGGAGAAGGCTTCTTTCCCTATGGCCTGCTAATCTCAGTATCACAATAAAATATCAAAGCTACCTAGTAAAGTCTTCCTACACATGGTCCTCACTTTAGAACAAGTCGAGCTACTTCTCGAGAACCACTGAGCGTAGACCAGGGAGAATTTTTTTCGTCAACGGGGGATCTTGATAAGAGCATCGAACACCACCACCACGCACCTACAATTGTTTACATGACTCTTGCTCTTCTTGACTTTCATAATTGAGGCAGGGCTTTCCATACGACTTCCTCTAGAGAGGCCGCCATCATGATAAGTCGTTCCTTACTTCTACACGTGGGTGCAAGTAGTAGCTTCCATTAGATAAGTTAGTAGATGAAAAGTGCTCGTTGTCTTCAGAGTTTCGTGGTGTTTTCCTGTGACACCATCACCACCAGCATCACCACCAAACCAGACCATCAGCTGCAGCATCAGTAACCACCACCACCACCCCAGCAGCAGCAACTTGCAAGTTGTCCATGCCCTTCAGACGGTACAAAAAGGTCCAGTCTTGTTACCGCCGCTCGTCTATCTTTTTTTTCCTGACAAGTCTTGTTTAGATTATGGTGTCCTACGATCTGGCCGTGTGGTCAATTGGCCTATCGGCATGGCGAGGGCCCAGGCGGCTGAGAGCGGCTTTATGAGAGACTCCATTCGATGTAAATCCCCCTTCGTGCATCATCGACGCAGCATTGCCGTGGTACCTTCTGCCTTGAGCCCCGATGTGGAGTCTAGAGCCCTCGAAGAAGTCGTAATGCTATTCGCAGCAGTAGAAGTGTCGAAACGCCACACTCAACTCGTATGGGAGTCACGGATTTAGTGTTCTCGCAGCAAGGAACAAACAGTAAACTGTGGTATTGTAATAAGCTTGGTATCTGTTCGTTATAAGATTGATTAATTACTGTTGATGTCATCCAGGAATTCAACATTGAGTCTTTGTGTGCCACATTTCTAAGCACCCACTTGGTGTGCAAGATGCCTCGAAACCTCTGTCAGGTGGCGTGCTGCATCCAACATGTATTGTATTGGTTTAAAAATTAAAACAGATTATTTAATGTCTAGCTAGCAGAAATAAAGACGTCCAAGTGGTTCTTTTTTCCCTCTTTCTCGATCAACAGATGGCATAGAAAATCGTACGTGTTCACTTTGTTCTCTCCTCTCTACCTCTTCGCAAAACACTACTAGGACTTTTGTGTTAAGCAACCCTTATAAATTCTGGCCTTTAAACTGTTCAAAAGGATGTACCCCTTTGGCAAACGATTCCGGGACCTTAACCGTTTGTCCATTGAGAGAGTCTATTCGAACAAGGTGGTCAGCTATCACAGCCTTAACATACAACATCACGACGAGGACAAGACAAACTAAAAAAAAATTAGAAAGGATTCCAAAGCAACTGAGTGGCTAGGAACTTCATTCTAATGAGCGCCGCAATGAACGGCAACCTTGTTGTCGCCACAGTACTGTGACTCAGATTGATGCAGATGGCAAGGGGACATGGGCCTATAGTCGTCGGTGCAGCACCACATGCAAAGCACCGCCGGGCCTTGACCTCCCCAGAATTCGCAGTCGCCCATAGGAAAGACACACGTCGAGGATTCCTGTGCGCTCATGCCATCCCGAGGGGTGAAAAGCCCCATGGCATTTGCGGCGAGACAGATACTCGTAACGATGTATGTTGCGCGAGCCATGTTGAACCTTCCAAGACTTAATTCGACGTTCGTTTTGTTTCTCCAAGAGAATGAAAAACTAAGTTGAGATAATTATTGTCCAGCCTCAAAATTCGAGAGAGAGGGGCTGACGAGAGTGAGTGCGTTCGTTGATGCAGAGCACAGTTGCCGCGAAGAACTCACCAGACTATTTGTACGCGGTAGGTATATGGGACGTAAACATCAGAACCATTGTTTACATGACTCTTGCACTTTTTGGCGTTCATAAACATAATATCGAGATATCCAATGCCGCTTAGGCCGATACCAGAGCGAGCTCTCCCTCTGAGCCCGGCATAGTTACGAATAAGGCCGCCGAAGGGTGGGCCTGCAGCGGTTCGCAGTTGTTCACACGCATCTCAGTTCAGGTTCAGATGGAACGTTTCTACTCAATCATAATTCCAAACCATAAAGGTTCTCATTGACTTTCTCGTGCCGCCCTCTTCCATGATCTGTAGCACGCTAGGAACTTTTCTCCTCTCACAAACCTCCCACAGCCCTCCAAACTCGCCCCGTTGACCGAAGTGGAAAGCAATACCCTTTCTGTTTATCCAGCAGCGTTTCACTCAATTTCGCAAGTTTTGCCTCAACTTGTCAAGATGAAGGGTCTCAGCTTGATTGCCTTCGCATTCACCGTCATGGTCGCAGTCGGAGCAACCAAGTCCAACCTCAGCTCGGTTGGATCCATCAGCTCGACTGAATCTCCCTGCTCGTAAGCCGGATGGCTTCACTATTCCATTAAGCCTAATTTTTTAAAAATGACTCACAACTATTTCGGTAGGCTCGTCACTTCAACTGCGTATGGAATCAACACCGTGCTCGAAAACCCACATGAGTGGCTGTCCTCAATCAACCACAAGTACTATCGAGGCCAGCACTCTTGGTCAGACTCGATTCCTGTCTTCACGGCTACCGTTGAACATGCCGGCTCGGTGGTGCCTGCCATCGGATATGTCGCTTCGGGAATCTTGGAGATCGAGGGATACAAAGTCACCACCTCCGTCGTCACGGCGACAGCTTGTGGCACCACCCAGCCTTCCCCAGACCCGGACAGCATCTGCAACCTGTCCAACAACGACGGTTTGTGATTCCCGAGAAAAGCGACTCTACGCGAAACCGGATAATTAAAACATGGGTTACAGGAAACTGCGAGGGAGACGGAGTCAATCCGGGTAGATACGAGTGTGTCGCCCACAATGATCACTGTACGTTGCATATCCCCATCCGTGTTGGTTGCACCGCTCAACAAAAATCTAATGACCATCGCCAGGGCACTGTCCCGTGGGCATTGATCCGCCATCCGACCACCCTGGTCGTCCAGGTCGCTTCACTTCCCAGAACGACGGGAACACTTCCTGCTTCGCCACGGTCATCTCAAGCGTCTTGCTTGGTATCACCGTCGTGGCCGTGATGTGTATGTAAGAGGCCTTGCAGACCACCTGCGTCATACCACGGGTATAGGCTGCTGCAAGTGTCAGCTATTGTTTCTACAGGAGTCAGAAGGCTCAGACCCAATGTCGGGCGATGGACGAAGACTTATAACATGGCACGGTGGTTGGTAATTGAGGCCCAGGCATGTATATTTGTCACATGAAGGTCCCGTTAATGTATGTGCGCATGGCTGCCTAGATAGTTAATTAATTTGAGTCCCGGGAATCTGTTTAGTTGAGAGACATAGCATGCATGCAGTTGTGTCATCTGCTCAAGGGTCCCAAAATCACATGAGAGTTTTCTATGACTGGAGCCAGATGTTCTCGCCACACTTCTAATGGAGGCTAAACATTTAGCTAGCCATATCTAATTAAGATATTCAAGCCTAGAAAAGTCCCACTATCTTCCTTAGATTTCATCAGCAAGTTAGCCTTTTTCATCTCCATTCAGCCCTCCTAACGCAAGCGGTAGTAAACATCCATAACATCGTGTTTAGGCGCAGTTATTCTAAAATGGACATGCGCTACCTACAGAAAGCCCGACTGGCTTAAGACCTTTTACTTTGGTATTTTTGAATCAGAAGTCCATATAGGAATAAGAAGAAGAAATAGAAAGTAGTGGCCTCACTGCGTCTTTCTCGCAAATATTATCTTCAGCGTCAGATTGAGCATATATTGACCAAGCGGTCCACATCTCTTCGATGAGCGCAATCGCTACAACAAGCTAGCCGTATACCTCGAACCTCATGACGATCAACCCGCTGTCTGAAAATTTCATGCTATGCAGACGTAGAGTGAGATCGTGGATAAGTTTCGCGGTGGTTTACCCTAGGTTGAGAGCTTCTCAAGTAACGAGCGAGGTAGTAAGTCGAGGATGTTCATCCTGTCACCAATTATTACCATTTATTATTTGATTTTTTTTTTGCACAAGATTGTGCCATTAATTATACTGTTTTCAACCTAATGGACGCTTGAGTGTTTCCAAGATTTACGAAACCCTTCTGGTTAATCTAAGCAAAGAGAGCCCTAGAGTATCTACTTCAATTTCTATATTCTGTAACCTCCCCCTTTCTATTTGCTATTTCTTTCCATTCTGCAGCTCGAATTATGTCTCTACTAGCCCATTTTCCTTGTGAAAGGCTTGGACTTCTCTTGGTTCGCACGGAGGATGAGAACGTTAGCCAAAGCACACGTCGCTATGGCATCGCCTCCTGCATTATCAGCAAGACCACCGCCATTTCGTCTAGGAGGCAGAATATCCTTGCCATTGTATCCAAATATTTGAAGTGACGATGACAGCCCGGCGATAGCCCCTTCATGCCCCTGCGACTGAGCTTAATGACAGGGGAAGGAGAGAAAAAAGGTAAACCGAGAAAAAGATTGTTTGACAAAGTTTGCCTCCTTGGTAATTAGAAGCTTTCTTTCCCTTTGCCCATACATTGGCTGCCTCCTGACATTTCTTCCCAGATCTTTGCTTCTATCCCAGGATCTCAAGGACCATTAGTTATTGACCTTGCACCGTTCATGTTTCTTAACTTCATATACATATAACCCGGTAAAGGCATCATATATTTTGAGTCCAAGACCTATAGCAAATACCCGAGCTGTATTACTGCTACTGACTGTTTTTCAATAAAGAGTTCTGTCATTCTAGATATTTATCCATCTTTCAATAGGTACTTAAGACTTCACCTCCGACCCGAGGTTGGGATCGTTGCACAGAAAACTAGTTAACCAAGCACCCGATGACGCCTCAAGTCTTTCTATAGAACATCCAAAGGACCAAATGATAACTCATCTTGCCCAGAGAGAATAAACGTGTCGGAACTCCTGCACGTGGGAATCCCTTGTGAGACCTTCATCGTCGGGACTCGGGACTCGGGACCAATTAAACAAATCATTTCGGACACGAAGCTCCGTTGGTTCGTGTACAGAAATGAGAAGCAACGTAGGCAAAACAACGCCAGAAGAAATGCACTTTGAGGATCGAAACACCGAATTTGCAGCATCAATACATCATCAGTAGGATTTTGCTTTTCTTTCAAAGATTTTAATACACCATGATGCAATGGTCGATGGTTTGTGGTCCTTTTCCGCAGCGCTGGAGGTGGCCGATAAGATAAGAAAAAGTTGAACTAAGCTCGGCACATGCAAGATGCGAGACATGCATCACAACACCACATCAGCTTCCCACCCTCCTTTACCACGGGGCTCGCATATTACATCTTACTGTTTCCCATGCGAGCATGCTCCGTTAATCACTAATTACACTCGGCTGACCGTCTTCGGAATCTCTCGCTCTCTACACCAAAAAGCCAACCCTTTAAAACCAACGGCCTCCAAGCCCACCAGTCTCTCGAAATGTCCAAATCAGTTGCTATGGTCGCTGTTCTCGGTGCAGGAGGAGGCGCCGCACTTACCGCCGCCGTCATGTCTCTACGAGGAAACAGCAAGAAGCCTGAAATCCAGGCCGCAAGCACCGCTACTCCAACCGCGCCCGTCATCGCTGGCCCTCCCGTGCCAGTTGCCATTCCGCCCTCCCAAATATTCTCACCGCCAGGCGCAGCTCCCGCTCCCTCTGGCGGCCTCGTCGACCCGGCCGGCCTCTTCCAATATGGCTTCCCCGGCCCCGTTGCCGACGTTGCAAACCGCCATGCCCTTGTCTCGAGCTACGATCGCCGCACACGCAACCCTCACTGGGTAGTCGAGCACATCACGCCCCAATCCCTCGCTACCCGCGAAGGAGACCGCAAGAACAGCAACTTCGTCGAGGACCCCGACGTCCCCCAGAAGTTCCGTGGCCTCCTCAAGGACTACTTCCGCAGCGGCTACGACCGTGGCCACCAGGTCCCCGCTGCTGATTGCAAATGGTCCCAGCAGGCCATGGACGACACGTTCTACCTCACCAACATGTGTCCCCAGGTCGGCGAGGGCTTCAACCGCGACTACTGGGCGCACTTTGAGGACTTTTGCCGTCGTCTGACCGTCAGGTACCCCTCCGTCCGCATCGTCACCGGCCCTCTGTACCTGCCCCGCAAGGATCCCGTCGACAACAAGTGGTACGTCAAGTACGAGATGATTGGCAGCCCACCCTCCATCGCTGTCCCCACGCATTTCTACAAGGTCATCTTCGCCGAGGACGGCCGTGTGGGCGGGAACGTCGCCCTGGGCGCCTTCGTCCTCCCCAACGCACCCATCTCAAACGACAAGCCCATCACCGACTTCGAGGTCCCCGTGGAGGCTGTGGAGCGTGCGAGCGGCCTCGAGTTCGCATCCAAGCTACCCGTGCAGAGGAGGAGAAGGCTGTGCACCGACACCACCTGTGCCCTCATCATCAAGGATTACGCCGAGCGGCAAAAGTCCGTGGCCAAGGGCGACAGACGAGCACTCCCACCACCCAGCTCATAAGCAGTCATAGACTTGCTTGATACGAATGAGTGGCTGGGTTTATGGTTCAGGGTTTTCATTCCGTCCTTTTTCTGCTTTCCGTCACTCACCTAGTTTCCAAGCTTAGTTTTGTTCTTCATTTTTTCCTTTTTTTCTCAAATAGACTGGACATGGTTTAACGAGAGAAGTGAGTTCAGATTGCATCACTGCATAGACACGGGACAAGAGCGAGGGATATCAGCATCATAGGGCCATTTGCTTGAACACTTATGTATAGATAGTATGATGACATGACATTATTAGCTAGACTTCCTTTTTTAAACCCCCATATTTACATGCCTACTTTGACTCTCCTGCCGTGCACGATCCTGTAGTCTTCCCGGGCGCAACAATACATTTTGCACCACCATCGCTCTGAAATCCATGCAAGTTGACTAATAATACTTCAAGAAGACAGCCCAAGGGTATCATTCAGAGAGCCCCCTCCATAAAAATAGGTGGATAAGATGGATGACTTAAAAATGGAGGGAAACAAGGCTTGTAAAACTCTCTACCTAATTCGAGTATACCTTCCCTGCCTCTGTTCAGAACGTAGACTGTCCTCCTGGCTGGGCAGTGGTGCCCTTCGCCCAGCGTCTCCAGCCGCACCGGGAGGGGGTGGCGGCGGTGGTGGGAAAGGAAAGTTGCCGGGCGGGGGGACTCCTCCCGGGGGTGGTTTGAAATCGGGTGGGATAGAAATGCCGGCATCTCTCATCATCTCGAAGATCTTGGCCGCATCAGGCGGGTTGCTTGGGTCGAAGCCTGGAGGTGGTGGTAGAGGTGCACCATTGAGGGGGAAGAGAGGTGGTGGGATGGGGGGAGCGCCTGGACCGGCACCCATCCCAGGCAGAGGAGGGGGAGGCACGCCATTTGCACCTCCGAGGCCAGGGACACCACCCAGACCGGGCAGCAGGCCGGGGATGCTGGAGAGGCCTGGAGGGGCGGAGGGGCGAGCATCTTGGTCGACGAGGGCATCGGCCTCGTCTTCCAGCTCTTGCTGTTCCTCCTCCTGTCTCTGCTTGCGATTTCCGCGGCGATCCCAAGTTCCCTGTGCCTCTGCGGCAGCCTCGCCGATGTGATACCTATCCTGGGAAACCTCTGAGTCTCCAGGACGAGCTCGTGTCCAGAACCGAGTTATGCGGTCATTGGAACCTGAAGCGAGGATATGGCCCATGGGATGCCAGTCTAGAGACCACACCGCATAGTCATGGGCATATGGTACTTTGTGCATCGGCCACACGGATTGGGCTGGAGTAGAGGCAGGGTCTGGGCTATCCCAGGGAGAGACTGTAAGGGGGTGGCCAGCGGGAGGGTTTGGCGTATCCAAGAGGTAGTGGAAGACGGAGCCATCCATGCCGCCAGTCGTCAGGAGGTTAGCATGCACAGGATGCCAAGTCAGAGTAGAAATGTCCTTTTCGTGCCCCTTGAGCAAGCAAATATCTCGCATGATTCTGAGGTCGAAAATTCTGGCTGTCTGATCTCTGGCCGAAGTGGCCAAGCAGTGGCCTTGGACCTTCTCGAAGAGAACCTTGGTGACGGTGCTCTTGTGCCCATGCAGGGTTGTAAGACAGTTCTTTGACCGTGGGTCCCACAACTTCACCAAGTGATCCTTGGATCCGGACACGATGAGACCCAGACGGCTGTGCCAGTCTACACTCTTGGCATCCCAGCCGTGGCCTTCCAGCTTTGATTCCATTTCACCCCTCGTGAAGTCAAAAATCTTCAGAGTTGAGTCGTCTGACGCGGTGACAAACTTATTGTCCTGTGGACTGAAAGCCATGTCACGGATTGGGTCAGAATGAGCGTTGATGTTTTCGACGTTGTTGAAGTTCGGTAACCAGTACTTGATGACACCATCGTGGTCTCCTGAGATGAGCCATTCGTCGCTGTGTGAGTACTCCAACGCCCGGATGGCCGAGTCATGAGCCTGCATAATAGTCTCGAAGTTGAATCCAGTGCCGTTCCACAGCGTGAACTCACCGCTGGTGGAAGCGGTTAGCAACCTGCGGCCTTGGGGCGTCCATCGAACCACGTTGATAGGATGCTTGATTTTGTTTAGTGAGGAATGAAGATGCTTAGTAGGGATACTATCAACAGATCGTGTTGGTCGGCCAATTGGCGGAATCATCTAACCGTCCACATTAGTCGTCCAAGTCATCTCATAGTAGGAGGTTGTTCGATGGGTGAAGATGAACTCACATCAACGATGTAGCTTGCGCTGGGCCGCTCAGACTCGCCTGTATACGGCCCTTTGTAGTTGGGAGCTCTGTTTCGTAGCCAGTGAGTTACAGTAGCACTGTAGTCGGTGACGGGTCCTAGAAAAGTAATCGTAAGCTTCCATGGGCAGGTATGTCATCCTGAAACGGAAATGGATGGTGGATATAAGTGCTTTCTTGTGCAGAAATGGGTAGAATAGAGGAAGAAACCGTCTATTGCAGGACGTAGAGCATCCTCTCCTCTAACTTGGCATGGGATGTAGCAAGCCTCCGCTCGGAGAAGGTAGATAGATGCCCAACAACAGATAGAGTAAGAAGCACATGATGATCACAGATGGTTTCACTACTCTGTCTTAGGCAGGGCACCAGTTCAAGAGAAAACATATGACCTTTGTGCTTTGATTTTGTGCAATAGAGGCCGGATGTAAAAGGGACGGTGAAGCAAATGTTCGTGTCAAGCGACTGCACTTACGGCGACCTCTAGGAGCTCTAACAAACGCGCCATCCTGCCCCCCAGCCCGATCCCCCTGGGGCTCTCCCCTAGGCTCGTAGGCCATTATGGTATTTTATTTGCCCCGGATACTTGAACCATTCACAAACCGCGTGCCACAGCTGGGTGTAGTGATGAGAGCTTATGTTCTAAACCCAAATTTGGTGTGGCTGAAGAGCGACGCGTTGGATGAGGTGCAATTGAAAGTGATGACGCTGGCTTCTGCTTGCTGAGTATCACCCTAATGTGCTGGAAGAAATATGGCCCAGAATTGAGGAGGACGTATGTATGCGTGCGTTTTGTTATGGTGCGGCAACCTAATCTCTCTTTGCTGGCTGAGTTCACCATTGAAACATCTTTGCGATGGCCATTGGGAAGAGAGCTTTCGCCAACCGTAACTACGGTCACGTGAGTGATTATAGGAGCGGGTCTTATTAGTCAGCGGCCCGAGCAATACTTACCTATCCACCACCGACACAGACGCCACAGACGGGTCCCTGGTGATCAAAGCTTGTGGGTTGGGGGAAGTATGACCACTCCGTCATGCCATGCGGCTCAATGCTGTGCAGGAGATCATGCACTTGGAATTGACAGCAGAGAGGAGTCACAGCATGATGTTGTCGTGGCGCATGTCGAAAATGGATGGGTGGGCCGACACCTTGGCAAATGCCTAAACAAAGCATGCGTTGAGCGATGGCCGAGCCTGGAACATATGACTTTATACAAGCACAACAAAGGGGATGGATGTCACGTCACGCTTCTGCGCTGCATGCAACCTCGCTTGGCATTCAGCACCCCTCTGCCTGCCTATCATTATCGTTATCTTACCACCGTGGTGGTGTTGACCGTTGGAGAGAATCGGAGAAGGCGGCTGGCATGTAAAACATACCCAAGCTTATTGACCAGCAACGCCACATGAAACAAGGGTTTTCTACCCACTTTCCATTCGAATTTGTTACCTACTTAGTATCTACTTTAACTGCCTAACAAGTGAACGCAGCCAAGTGGATGATCCAAGACTTTCACATGCTTTTTTCTCTACTTGACCAGCAACTAACAAACTGGCAATAGCGCTGGTACCCGCTAAAATGGCTCGCCGCCGGGGTCCCGTTGCTGCTCGGGCCGTATTGAGAACGAGCGGCATCCCATGTAGCAAGCGAGGATCCCTCGCTGTCGGTCTCGGGTTTCAATCCTGTTTTTTTTTCCTTCCCTTGCCCTAAGAAACCCTTTATCTTCCTCGGAGTATTTATCTAGTCTTTCCTGCGTCGAACTGTCTCACCCGCCCGATTACCTAAGTCCCGGAGTCTGCAAATCGTAGCCTTCGTTCTGCCCTCCGTTTTAAACTAAGGACCGTTATCAGCGTGTCCAGCATTCCCCACCTCGCCTCGCCAGCCTCGCTTCCTCCCTCCAATTCATCCTGCAAGTCGCTTGCCTGGGGAGCTGCCTGCATTATACGTGCATGTCGATTGTCGAATGGAGATACGCTTCTCCCTGTCATTCCTGGAATAGCGCATCGGCTAGCAGACGCGGTGCCATCATCTGTTGGAGGGTGCCCCGCCCTTGTCCCTGTGTGTCTCGAAACTCAAAAACGTAATCTATCATCAGCTCATTCCGTCCATCCATTGTCAACACGTATTATATACATACTGCATTCTCCTTATCTTGCATACATATATATATCACATATGAGTCCGCCCACATAGAAAGCGAGGCTTCCAGTACCGACAATTCCAGGGATCCAATCCGTTCCACCAAATCCCCCACTGCAGCCAGGCAATTGCAAGCAGACATGAAGGCGGCTGTGACGGCCACCTCGACGGGCGTCGAGCAAGCCAATAGCAACGGCAATGCTACTTCGCGCCGCAACGGGCAAGTGGAAACGAGCTCGCCTGAGGTAACGTCAAAGAACCACCCAGCGCGGAAATATCGACATGTTGCTGCAGTGCACTCCAAGACGAGACCGTCCTGCCTGAGCCATGACGCCGAGGCCGCCCCAAGCTTTATCGGCTTCCGAAACCTTATGGTGATTGTTCTCGGTATGTGTTGACTAAAACCTCGCACTCTTCCTACGAGGAATGCGGGTGTATGGAATGCAGGTGATTGTGCTAGCAGTCGACTAACAGCTGTTGGGTTGTAGTGGTTGGTAACCTACGGCTTATGATTGAAAACCTGCAAAAGGTATGTATCAGTCAAATACTCACCATTGTCAAAGACTAACCAATTTGCTGGTGATAGTATGGAGTCTTGATCTGCCTCAGCTGCCATGACTACAGCCAAAAGGATGTCGCCACTGGGCTGATGCTCTACTTCCTCGTCCCCTGCCATCTCTTTGCCGCCTATCTGATTGAGTTGGCAGCCGCTCAACAGGCCCTCGGGTCCAGGAAGCGTATCAAAGATGGCGCAACTGGGCCATCCGAGGAAGACAGGAAGCGCTTCCACTCGACTTGGGTGATTGTGGCCTGGGCCCATGCGGTGAACATCACCCTCGGTCTCGCCATCACGACATATGTCGTCTACTTCCACATCTACCACCCTCTCATCGGCACTCTCACTGAGCTGCATGCCGTCATTGTATGGCTCAAGACAGCCTCGTACGCATTCACGAACAGAGATCTCCGTCATGCATACCTCCATCCCGTTAAGGGAGAGCTCGTCCCCGAGCTGTATACATCATGCCCCTACCCCCAGAACATCACAATGTCCAATCTCATCTACTTCTGGTGGGCGCCTACTCTCGTATACCAACCCGTCTATCCCCGCACCCCCAAGATCAGATGGATCTTCGTAGCGAAGCGACTCGCCGAGGTCTTCTGCCTGAGCGTCTTCATCTGGGTGGCCACCGCGCAGTACGCCACCCCCGTCCTGGTCAACTCCCTGGACAAGATCGCCTCCCTGGACATCCCCTCCATCCTGGAACGCCTCCTCAAGCTGTCAACCATCTCGCTCGTCATCTGGCTCGCCGGCTTCTTCGCCCTGTTCCAGTCCTTCCTCAACGCCCTCGCCGAGGTGCTCCGGTTCGGCGACAGGTCCTTCTACGACGACTGGTGGAACAGCGAGAGCCTCGGCGCCTACTGGCGCACGTGGAACAAGCCCGTGTACACGTACTTTAAGAGACACATCTACATGCCCATGGTCGGTCGCGGGTGGAGCCCCATGGCCTCCAGTCTTGCCGTCTTCACCCTCTCTGCTGCCCTGCACGAGATTCTGGTCGGGGTGCCAACCCACAACATCATTGGTAAGTCTTGATTGTTTCCCCTGTTCCAAACCAAATCGCGCCGAATATTTCCAGTTTTCTAACCGAGATGGGATAGGCGTTGCGTTCTTGGGAATGTTCCTGCAGCTGCCCCTCATTGCCATCACCGCCCCCTTGGAGAAGATGAAGCTGGGCAAGGGCGGGAAACTGGTCGGCAACATCATCTTCTGGGTCTCCTTCACGATATTCGGCCAGCCGTTCGCGGCTCTCATGTACTTTTACGCGTGGCAGGCCAAGTACGGTAGTGTCAGTAAGAGGCCGCTGGCTCCAAAATAAGAGCGGGCATTGGGTTCTCCACGTCAAAAGGTTACAATCAATATCATGTACATACACGGCTGGGAGTGCTCTCTTCAGGAGCATCCACTGTACAATAATACAAATTGGGCAGGGCGCATTGGTTCATGAGTATTTGTCTTGCTATACACGTATGCTAATCGTCGATTAAAACATGTTCGGGATAAAAGGTCTGGTTTCTAGAGGTGCCATGCAAGAAGAAAATTAGGTATGAGACCTGCATGAAGCAAATGGAGATATTCTTCCTTCAAGGAACGAACGGGATCATGGTCCCGACGCGCTTCCGGTACTCCTTGTAGTCATCGCCGAAGAACACAATCAGGTTGGCCTCTTCGGTGATGGTCCGATCATGGAAGAACTTCCACAGCACAAGCCCATAAGCCACGAAGCAGAAAGTGTTTCCAAGGACGAGCTGCGTCCCCAGCCCCCAGTAGAAGAACCCAAAGTAGCTCGGGTGCCGAAAGACGGAGTAGAGGCCCGTCGTGACAAGCACGTGAGACTCGGCCTTCTTTGTCTGCACGAGGTGGTTGAAGCTGGCACCGGCCTGCAGCATGGCGAGAGATCTAATCACCTGTCCACCGATGGTCATGATGAGACCCGCGGCCAGGAGTACCGGCCCAAGGCCAAAGGGGGTCCAGGAGCGGTTAGGGAAGAAGATGCTGACGAACAGACACTCCAATGTGGCGGTTGCGTGGGCAATGGCGTACGACGGCCAGTTGGCGGTAAGCAGGAAGCTGTCGATCTTGGCATTGAGCGTGTTCCGCTCCGCAGTGGTCCAGAACTCCAGGAAGTGGAAGAGGGCGAGGGAGAAGAGGAAGAAGGGAGCACGCCAGATAGGGTGGTCGGTGAAGATGAGGATGGCGGCCATGGCGATGAAGCTGGCCGCAAGTGCGATGCCCAGACAGAAAGCACGCAGGGCGATGCCTGAGAGGGATCTGGACTCCCCGGGGAAGAGCGGCTTAAGCCTTTGGGCCATTACGGCCGGAGGAGCATCTTCAAACTCGGACTCGGATTCAGAGTAGTTTCGACGGCGCGCCGGTTGCCGGACCGGTGCATTACCGTTTTGTGCACGAGGAGTTGACGACATATTGGAATTCCGTCCGTCTTCTTCTATGTGGCTAGTGAACTCCAAATACTTTAGTGCTAGAATGAAGCTTCCCAAGGAAATAAACCCGATTGCCGCGATGAGATGGTGATGAAAACAGGGGAGTAAAAGTTGAGCTTGCAAATGTGTCCAGAACGAGCGAAGTGAACCTTAAAGAAGGCTGGGCTTCGCAGCTGGCGTTCAGATGTCCACGCTAGAAGCACCAGAATGAGAAAGGAAACCGGGAGAGAGGGTCAAAGCCAGCATGGCGACCTCTTGGTGATGATTGTGCGAGGCAGAACAATACGAACGTCAAGCGTCGTTGGTGGTGGGTCGGATGGATGAAACTAACCATAGGACAGGTCACTATTCCCACCAAAATAGGCGCAGATACCATTCTCATGCCCTGCGGGTGATGCTCCTGACCCTCCGTGGGTTGGCGGCATGCTGCCTACATTAGTGCACCCATTCTCTTACTGGATCAGGTGGGCTTTGTCAACTGGGAGATAAATGATCAAACCGAAACCCCTCCATTCTCGACCGTTGTCCGGGCAGATGCAGTTCTTTGGTATGACGGTGCATCTGCTGATGCAAGGGTGTACTCAGATACTGACCATCCTAGCCCGTCCCTTGCATGGCAGTTGATTCATTAGTATTGGTTGGCAGTCATTATTATCTAGTAGGTATTATTATGTATCCATTCAGCGTGATATCGCTTTCATCCATCAATTATTGAGCCCTCCGGTCCGACCCTGCCGGCAGATGCATCGTGTCAACATATGGCAGTTCCGCCTTTCACCAAGCTGGCACCCTCCAATTCCCTAATTGGAGGCTTTATCATATCTTCTGATAGTCCAGCCTGTGGGCAATAAGCTCCATTGCTCGGCATCCGATCACTCCACACTATAATCCACCTTGAATAGAGAAGGATGATATAATGAGAATGAGGACGCATATAAACCCCCACGTACAAGGAATCCATGTGTTCATCTCGTAGTACCCAGCACCATACACCGCACCAAGTCTAGGCCACCTGTGTTAGCAACTCTACTGTTTGTAAAACCGGAGGCTGGACCGTACACTAAACCGACAAGGCTACCTGACAAAACGGCTTCGATGGCCGCTACAGTCAAGTAGACGAAGGGGACAGCCCATAGGTATTTCCATGACGAGATCTTGCGGCCGTGTGTGAAGATGGCAATGGCAACGGCAGCCAGGTGGAAGAGGGCGAAGAAGACAAGTGTCCAGACAACGGTGAAACGCCAGATATCGCCAATATAGTAGAGTGTGAATCTTCTGTCGGGAGTCCTGTCGTAGATCGTCTGGACGTTGAGGGATGGGAACGGCGGGGTGTGGTAGCTCTCAGGAGGCTGAGGAGCTGAACGCTGCATCTTGTCGTCGCTTAGGGAGGTTCCGTCGTCGCGATACCATTCCGGGGCGAGCACACATGCTGCGCACTCGGTACAAACACTTTGCGAGATCCACCGAGGATATCGCAGAGCAGGCGCTGGGGCCGGGAATCAGAGCGTGGGCGCGAGAATCATCGACCAATTGTCTGGTGTTGAAGTAAATTAATCGCCTGCCCTGTCTGGTGTTTACTTACGACATCTCCATATCACCCAAGGCACTACCTACCTAGATTAGTGGCGGCCCAGAGCCCGCATTTCGGGGGCGGGCGGGTCCCCTGAGCTGCCATGCAGAGGCTCTAATTGCCCGCTGGGGCACTGTCGAGCAGCACCTCCAATCACCAAACAGTCCCTAAGGCTCGGGACGCGGCACGTCACAAGATCCCTGGACTTTGAACCTCGGCATCCCGACCGACAGTCCTCAGCGACGAGCTACTTCTCGATTCTTCAACATCCCCCATCGCGCACTCACACCCGCATCGCAGCCCCGAGGAGTCAATCCTCTCGATACCCCCAGGACAAAATGGCCGACCGGCTGCTCAACACCGTCTTGCAGTATTACCAGGACGTTCACGATGCCGCGAGAACGGAGCAGATCATCGGGACGACCGCGCACCTCCTCGCCCAGCTTTCCAACCCTCTCAACTTGGGTATCCTGACCTCCCAGCTTCTCACGGCTCGAGCGATTTGGCATAACCCCGACGGACTCCGCACGTCCATTCGCATCATCAGCATCTACAACACCGCTGCGTCCCGCGTCCGCGAGCAAGAGAAGGAGAAAAATGCAGGAATCGGTCTCCGGGGCGGCGGTGGACTCCATTGCGAGGACTGGGTTCGCGCGGTCGTCAAGGGAGCTGATGATCGGTCGCGCAGGTGGCAGCATCTGCTTGTCCTCACCGGCGCATTGATGGGGATGGAAAACGACGACCGGCGATCGCTCACTGCAGCTATGCGAAATACCCTCGAAAACGCGATCGTGACGGCTGCGAACCTGGCCCTGGAGACCCATGTGCAGGATGGCCATCTTGCTGCTGCCTCCACAGTGATGGCGCTCAACTTCGCGTTCCCCTTGCTATCTGAATTTAACAGATCCCAGGTCAATTGCAATGCGCTTTTGCCCATCATTGTCCGTACCATCACTACCGACGAAGGGTTCCGTGACGGTCAGTTCCTCGAGGCCATCGCGCGCGATATCTCCGGTACGCTGGACACAGTTCTCAACTGGCCCGCAAATTCGCTTTCGTTCCGGGCTCTCCAGGCCATGGACCAGCGACCGTTGATGGGAAACATGGGCCCATTGTCTAAGCTTGCTGGGTTCGCTGTCTCACAGGCCCAAGACACAGGCGCTGTGCTCGCGGCCCAGCAGGAATTACTCAACTTCACAGGAACCTTGCTGAATCTTTGGAGGAGCCTCCCCTTCAGCGATGTAGATCCTGCCCTGGAAGCAGCCAAGCTGAGCTCCGAGACCGCCCAGACCACTTGGCCAGCTCTCTGGCAGCTCCTACGAAAGCTACTCTTCGGAGTCGTGGCAATCCTACAGGCTATCGTCTCCCGCAGTCTTCTGGACCCTGTGATGATCAACGAAAGGACTGCCCCCGCCATCTCTTCCAAATCTCTCCATATTCTAAGGAACCTTTCCTTTATCTCTTCCCACGGCGGGAATAACGCCTTCCAGGTCTACACATTCACATACATGGCTTCCATTGATGTCATCTCGCGTCACCCACCTGCCTGCGAAATGTATCTGGCGGAAACACGACCGCAAGCTCCGGTTATGCTACCAAGCCAACACTGCCAAAGGACCTTGGACCTCTTTTTCCTCAATCTCGCAGAGCATCTTCCCCTCTCGCTGTCCACGAATGCATGCGAGAATCTCGTGCTTGAGCCAGCTCTCGCATACATCTCCCACGATGGACCAATGACCCGCACCATTGTCGAGCTATTCGAAGCTGCCCACAGCGCGATCCTATCCGTCCTGTCATGTCCACAACACAGTCCTCTCACTGTCCGTATGGCTCCCTTCTACATCCTGAAGCTCTTCGAATCATTTCCAAGACACATTTCTCCCCGTCAATTCAGACTAGCTTTCAAGACCGTCATGCAGATTGTATCACCACCCTTCCCCGTTGCCGCCATAAACCCAGACCTGTCGGAGACTCTTCTGGAGCTCCTCAGGCATTACATGGCCAACGCGTCCACCGAGCCCCTTCCGGCCACTTTAGATGCCGAGACCGGCCAAGCGGGGACCCAGCAAGCCGAGGACCTCCTGTCCTACCAAAGTTCGCTTGCTCTGGCCCTCGTTGACTCCTTGCCGTACTTGCCGTTGCCGATTGTGGAGGATTGGCTCGCCATCGCTGCTCAGGCGCTTAATGAGATCGAAGATCCCGGCCTGAGGGAGCCCGTCAAAAGGAGGTTTCTGGATATCCTCGTCAGCGGGGAGATGGATGTCGAGCGAGCAGCCATCGGTGTGAACTGGTGGGGGACAAGGGGCGGCCGAGAATCTGTTATTTTAGGCCGGACCTCCGAGTCTCTTATGATGAGCGGCGCCATTGGGCCCGAGCGGTCAAGCCATCTATGAAGGCCATGTGTCTAGATCAACCCGTACTCATTGAGGCCGAATACCACACTTCGTCTAGACGAGTCTCCCCTCCAGCTCCATCAGAAGCCGTGCATTTTGTCATGCTCTGATGTGGTAGGCCTACGATACTCTGAGGAACGCTCTAATGCGGCCTCATATATTGCCAAGGTTTCCTCTCGTAGGCGTAAGAAGCACGCCCATATTATATCAAAGATCACAATGCCCCGGCCCCTCTGGATGGCATCTCTCGATGCAGATCGAGGTATACAAAATGCCGTCGGGCAGTTGGACCAAGCTGTTCTCCATATAATGAATTCAGACGGGACGCCCGGATATCGTCAATAGTGCAGACACTACAGTCATCAGACAGCACTTTTCCTCCTAAGGGGCTACGAAATAAAGTGATTAGCACGGTGAAACACGGATACATCATCCAATAGCTGCTGCAACCTTTGGCAGATCCTAAAATACTACAATCCTGCTGCAAATGTCTTTCCTGAGGCTCGGGGCCGGAGATAGTCATCTCCAACCCCCAGCGGACGACATTTATTCCCCAGCCTCTCAAGACACAGACAGCACTCTCTTAGCTTAAACAGCTTTGCTTAGCATCTCATTACTATATTCGTGTTCATTGAGTTTAGCGTAGGTAGCATTAGTAACTCTTCTCGGCGTACTATTTATATAAGACATCGCTTCACCAACGTCCAGCTAGTTCATTCCTGTCCGCATGCTTCTACCCTCCCTCCACATGTTGCATACCAAATCATCTCTTCCCCGCATCCGTTTATGTAGCTCTATGCAGCCCAATACTCGATAAAGTTTGTCTCAGGCCTGGATAAGCCTAGCATGACGTCCTTCCTCGAACAAGCGTAGATCATGTCGTCAGATGAAGTGAGCTACCCCGCCAATCCTCCCTCGCCATCGTCACATCCCCCAATCCCGCGACATGGGTTGCTCATGAGCTCCTACCAATAGACCACTCTCGTAGGAAAATGCCACACCACTTAACCGCCGATGGCACTCGCCCTCAGGCTCAGTCCGGATAACGTCATCGTGGGAGGATAGACCCCAGCCTATTGAATTCAAAACACAGGGTCCGGGTGGCAGCTTCCCCAAGCCCTCCGAAGAGAAGGAAGGAATGGGATCGCCAGTCACATGGAAGGAAGTTGGGTGAAGAGCTGTCCCCAGGTATAAGAAGGAAGCTCCGGTTTCTAGCTGCTCCATCTCCGCCCTTACACCTACTTTTCCACAAGCTCAAAAGCTGCATCATACCAACCTCTCACACCACAACAAGCATCCATCTGATTAAGTTCATCATGTCTCAACAAAGAGATCCCTACGGCGTATGTTTCCCTCTCATAAATTAACCCCAATTTCTAACAATACTGCAGATTCCCATCAACCCGCACCGATCCTACGAGCAGTACGGCGCCAACGCTGTCAGTAACCACCCGTAGACTCTTGATTCTTCTTCTTCATTCGCATGGCATACTAACCCGAGAGCATTTCCAGATGAACGAAGGCGGAGGTTTTCTTGAAACGCGCGGCCAGGGCTACGCTGAGAACATGACCACGGAAGGTAACCCTCGCCGGCAAGAGAGGAAGACGGAGAACATCGCCGACCAGGGCTCGGATAGCCAGAGATACGGATCTGACAGCCGGGACGATGACATGTACGGCATCGGGCTCGGCGGCGGCGACCGGCATCACATACCGGGTGATCTTGAGGCTACCCAGGGCGATAATTCGTCACGTCGGCAGGATGAGGATTTGTATGAGCGAGACACAGGCCTCCAGCAGCAGCAAGGGCGCCAGCAGGATGAGGATTTGTATGAACAAGACGCAGGCCTCCAGCAGCAGCAAGGGCGTCAGCAGGGACGCCAGCAGCAGTCGACCGACCAAAATCAAAAGGGGGACAGCATGCTCGGCAAGTTGATGGAAAAGACTGGTGGGGCTCTCGGAAACAAGCACCTCGAAGAGCAGGGCCGTGAAAAACGAAACGATCAAAGGAACTATGGTGATCGCGACTGAGGGAGAACTTTTGAAACATTCTGGAACTCAAGATGACGATTGAGCTGCCGTTCCTTGTATATTAATCAACACTTCCTTATGTCTCTTACTCCCCTGTATGAAAATCCTCAAAAAATTATCTTCTGCTTTTCCCTCCATCCATGACTCTAAGTGGTCAGAGGGATTATGTGTAAGAAAAATGGAAGCCAACACGCTCAACTCCATACCCAAGCAAGGAAACCATCACGTTCCCATTGCAATCCTAACTACATGCGTGAGCTAGCCAGCTCCAACCACAAAAATGTAAACGCTGTTCCGGTTTACACCAATTTCTTTTCGACTTTGACCAACACTGCTCCATCTGACAGCTTGTCATTTGCATCGAAGAGATGAATAAATCTGTATCCAACTCCCAATCTGTCTAGTTTGACACACGCCCAAGCTGCGAGATCATCCTTGCCAATCTCGTCATCCCTGATAGTAAAGCGCACGAATGTCAATCCATCAACTACACCTGGAACATCTTTGAGTTCGACTTTTTCGCCCCCCATGTCGATATGGCAACCCTTATACGACCGTGTTTTGACCTTGTATTCGTCCTCACGCTCGAGTTCCTTGTTCTGGATCTGCCCTCCTCGAACGTCCTCGGAAGAATCCGAGTACACTGCCACCTTAACATAAGGCCTGAAGCTCCTGTCGTGGGTATCGCCCAATGGGAGGGGGATATTTTGGGCCGCGAGGAAGGTAATCGTCAAGCTAAGTTTCCGTGTAATAACGTCCTTGACGGTAGAGCGTCCCTCTAATTCTGGGTGGTACCCTATTCCATTGATTTTGTCAGTCAATCACATCCTCTTTGCATTATACTCGTAAACAATCAGAAAATAGCTCGCAGACGTACCTGGAGGTTTGAGAACATAGCCTCCTGTGCCAGCAAACATGGCTTCGTTTAGCATCATCGACCTACTGTTCTTTTTTTGCCAGTTGAGCGCGACGATCTGAACACCCGCACCCCAAAAGGGGGAGGGATCCAAGTTTTGGGACCCGGCCCGAAAACCAGACGGGTAGGTACGCATCATGAAGCGTTTATTGTGCTCCCAAATGCCCCATTCGTTTCGTCCATAAGCTCCCATGTAAAATGTCGATTCCGCAAGGGAGAAGATGTGTGTTGGCATCGTGGCTTCTGGCTGGGTAAAGCTTTTGAAGGACACGCCTTTGGTGTAGACACCCATACGGCTCAGCTCCTGAATAGTCTTAGGAGCCTTGGCTACTTTAGCCTCTTTGGTCTCTTTAACTTCCTTTACCTCCTTTGAGTCAGTCGACACCTTGGTTTCTTTGGTTTCCTTGATCTCCTTGGACCCGTCAGGCAAAGTGGTTTCATTTGTCTTTGTAACATCCTTGGTCTCTTTTGGCCCATCAGAGACATTGGTTTCCTTGGTCATTGTGACCTCCTTGGTCTCCTTAGACTCCTTAGACTCAACAGATATCTTGGTTTCCTTGGTCTCCGCGGGGTCCTTCATCTCGGTAGGGCCCTTAGCCTCGTCGAGCACCTTAGTTTCCTTGGTCAGTTGAATTTCTGTGGGTTTCTCCGTCTCGTTGAGCTTCTCCGTCTCGTTGAGCCCCTTGGGCTCGCCAGGGGACGTAGTTTCCTGGGCCGTCGGGACTGCTTTGGTCTCCTTGGTCTCTGTGGATTTCTTGACTCCCTCGACGGTGTCGGCTGCAGGCTGAATATCTTCGTTACTCGGCTTCTTCTCTGGAGGTGAATACTTGACCTTGACCAAGATTTTATTTTTTAATTCAGCGGGGCTAGGCAAAAGAGCGGGCTCCGAATCACGCTCAGCCACCAAGTATTCACCCCATATCTCCTTCATGATTCTCACCATGACGAGCTGCTGTGCAGGGGAGCAGTGAACCTCTAAGCTGATAATCAAAGGAGCGTCAGATGTAACAAAGGCGCTCTCCTTGATGGCCACGCAGACCTCCCGGAAAGTGATCTTGGTCGTCCTCGTATGGCCATGGGTCACTACGGGCTCAACCTCGATAGCCCCGGGTTCCTCGACGATGATGCTGGAGACGGCATCTGTGCTTAGTGTAGCCTGGTCAGAGCCTTTGGCGGACGGACTGTCCGTGCCTTTTGGTTTTTCAGGCCTCTTTGCTGAGGAGCCTGACCGCTTCAGACGTGTGGACAGGGAACGAGAAATTTTGCTTTTTAATGCGCCAAAGGTACTCCTTCGCTTCGGCGGGCCAAACGCCTGGTCGCTAGCACTGTCGCTGTCCTTTGCGTCAGGTTTGGCTGCGACTTCGACTTCTTTTTTGGCTTTAGGATCAGCTTTCTGGGCCTTCGCTTTAACGTTCTCCTCGTCACTAGAGCTGCTGCTGCTGCTGCTGCTACTGCTACTGTCGTCCTCGCCATTCCAGACATCAATCTCAACACAACGACAACCTCGGATCAAAACATCGGTGTACGTTTCCGTGGTGCTCTCGCCAAATACTTGTTTTCCTGCAAGGTAAGTATTGTGACTAGAGCTGATGAAGTAGCTAGAGAGGGGCCATGACAGATCTGTCGGCTTGGGAGGAGTGGTGAGGGCGGCAGAAGAGGAGGTCATGTAACCCAGAAACTTGTGGAAATCAAGCTCATCGTAGGTAAGCAGCTTGGAACTGTTTGAGTCTTCCGAGTCTTGATGTTGAATGTCCCGTAGAAAGGCGGCTATTTGCTCCTTGGTCCATTTCTTATCTGGCCCAGCGTGGGTCTCAAAGATCTTCTGGAGGTGAGGAAGGACCTTGTCTTGGACAACCTTGATTGAACGGTTTCTTTCACCAAGACCTCCTCCTGCCAGCTCTGCATGGGATGATGGAGACGAGGTCGCCAGAACTGCATTGGCGGACGCTGCCATTGCTGCCAAGGCCATGGTGTGTGAGAGAGAGAAAGCAGCACCTCAGTAGAGTGGACGCTTACGAGGGATATGATAAGAAGCGGAACGGACAGACTCCAGTCGGCGAGGACAACTAAAAAGGGCGAGGAGCTAGTTGGGACCGCTTGAAAAGGAGGAACAAGGCCTGCGGTGCTTCAATGGCGCCTCAATGGGTGCTGGATGGAGGTGAGAGGAGCAGAGGAGGGTATGAGCCACGAACAGCAAGAACACAGAGAATCAGAGCCGTCGCTCAGCAATCAGCCCAGGCACAGGCAGGACACTGAAATATGGAACGAGCTACGCCTACGCCTACGTAGCACACGCACTTGGCTTTCTTTCAGCTTGCCAGGCCACTCTGCTGTTGGTTACCCTTGCTGCAGCGCTCCACTCAGCGCCAGAGCAACTGCGTAGCTGCGCCAGTTCTAGACCACAGTGGCAGCCACGACCAGCGCGCACCTGCTGATGTGCCTCAATACGGGTACTTGGCGCCCCAAAGTCCCTAGCTCCTTCTTTGGTGGCCGAGGGATCGTCCAGGGGTAGTGGGTAAGCCTACAGCTACTAATTAATGTATGTACCTTATTCCGAGCTTGCATTGCTTAGAAGGGCCGCCGTCTTGCAATCAATATACGCGGCTGCCGGGTTACGTGGTGATTCCCCGGCTCGGCCAGGTGCATGGCAATACGTCTGAGAATGGAGATAAGATAATTATTTCATTACACAAAAACACACCACCCATGGAAACACCCATGAAGTCTCACGGGAGCTGGCCAGCTCAGGCGAGCGAGTTGCTCTGGCTACCACGCAAGCACCGCCCTCCTCGCCAGGCCCCCTGCATCAATATGCCATGGTCCCAGATTGACAACCAACATACGCAGTGCTTCAGTAACACTTGTCAGTGCGAATATCGCTCCATGTTCCTTGTCACGAATCGTACCCTTTTTCTTTTGCAGACATGCACAGCTGAAACGCCGCGCGTCAGTGGGCAATCAATCACATCCGTTACAATCTAACAAAGTATTTCTTGGCTACTGCACTACCCTACAGCATGTCAATCATGGAAATCAATTCGTCGCCTGCCATGCTACCCTACAACCTTGCTGATTCGCCTTGACAAATTCGACTGCAGCTGGAGCAGGGTCTAGGAGGATTGATGTGAGGTCATTGAAGACATTATCAATCGGCTGTAATTGCAACTTCGTTTGTTTGGTCATTCTCATGTATTCTAGTCGATGCTTATTAGCTTAGCCTGCGGAGAGCAGACGGGATCCCGTTTTTGCTGTTGGTAAGTATGGTCGTACGTAGTAGTATAATGGTTCGCTTAAATATATGCACATAACCATTGATATAAGATTGTAGGTACTCTTTCTCAGCCTACCTTTTACCTATGTCCGGGGAGAGTCTTGTTACGGAGAGGCTTCCAGGTCGACAATTCATGCAACCATGACAAAGGATCTTCTAGCTGTCCATGCCCTCCAGCTTTCACTCCTTTACAAGCGCCAAGCTTAAACACTCATCGCTTTTAGAAACTTGAGAGAGTATAGATTGAGGAAGAATATATACCAATATACTCATTGTAAAATAAGAGTGTTGTTTGTGCTAAGGAGGAGGAAGAGGGCGGTGAGTGTCAAGAAGACGTGCAGTATTGACAGCCAACTCAACTTTGTGTGAATGGCCGACTTTGGACTTTCGAGCGCCGCCGAGCTTTGCCTTCAGGGGCGCATAAATGGCCTTGTTCCTCATAGTTAAGCTTTTACTGCAGAGTCTGGATATGAGGCGAATGAAAACTCTGTTTGCTCTCTCACGCGGTATTAGCCTTTTTATTTTTTTATTCGCACAAGTAAGATATTCTTTATATAAGACCACAACACGACTCGCTTTCTTCTTCTTCTTCCTCTTCTTCTCCTTACCCCGTCGAAGTATCTTACTTAGGTAGATACATACAGCAGCAAGCCAGCAGCCTGGCCAGAGCAATGATGAAGTTGATAGTCCTGCTAGGCAGGGCGATATGCTGAGCTCCAAGATCCCCGACGTCTTACCCTTGGCAGCAAGAACGATGAAGTCGACAGTTCCGCTAGGCGGACAAACGTACCGAGTTCTTTTTCCACGGATAGT